TTGTTCCTCCACTCAGTCCACAGCGCTTGGATCAACATCGATTATACAAAATGTGACTTTCATGCAGGTTTCCTTTACTCTGAAACTTTCCGAGAGCCTTCAGCGTCAAAGTGTATGACTAACTGTAGGCTCCGTCTGTTCGCTTCATTTTTCATGCCTCTTTTCCTGCTCTACTTCTGTGAAGATGATGGATGCTCTTGAAATCCACGGGGACAGCTGGTCATTAGGCTGGAGGTAAAGCGAAACACGCTGCATGACTGTGTTGAGGGAGGGGGTGCAGAGGGGCAGTAAAGAAATATACCATGGAAAGGTAAGAGGCAGGGGAGCAAGTTTGAGCGCTTTTGTTGGCTGACATTACAGAGTCATATTGTAATGCAGCAGATAATAGCCTGCAGGTCGGACTGTGAGCCTGGGGAGTAGCCAGCACCTGCTGCCATTCATTCAAGGTGACAATAAGCCGATGACACCAAGTCCCTGTTGTGGCTCTGTGTGTGTGTTTGTCTGTCTGTCTGTGCGTGTGTCTGTCAGAGAGGTTTTATAACAATTTTGGCTGCATCAACGTCAAAGTATTAAAAGAAGCTGTGACATAATATGAAAGCGCCTGCTGCCTGCAACATAACCACACCGCATAAGCTGACCACCTACACAAATCACTCTGCATGCAGCCATCCATTACAGAACAACAAGACCACCACTAGATTCCCCACATGAGGCAGGCAGGCAGGCTTTTTGTTCTGTAGAACACATGGGACTGTGCATGAAATTCACAGCCACTTCAAGGCGCCAGGCAAAGACAGAGCTTCTGGTTTAAAAGCTCTCTCCAGCTGGCTACAAACACCAGAGATAGAGGTCGATGCTCTCTATCGCTGCCTCCGCTGAGCAGTCTACCCTTCAAACGTTCAGACAGCCATGAGAGCCCCCAGAGACCATCAGTTCCTGTTCTGTATCCAGCTCTCTCTGCTGCTGCCCTTCGACAAACACACTCATACAGACACACACACACACACACATCAAGCATTTAATTCATACCAGTGGGCGCTCCGTTGCTTCAGTAAGGTGACGGCTGCCTTTGCACCCAAGCATCAGAAGGTGAAAAACATCTGAGAGGGAAAGAAAAAAGTAAGTCACAAAGTTCACTGTCAAAACAACTTCAAGTGCGTTTAGGAATTAACTGAAGGCAACTGAGTAGCTTCCCATTTATACTGGATCTTGTCTCTTTTAAAATGTGGCGTCTGATCACCCATCACACAAACACAGGAAACATAAACTTTAACAAAGCTCATAAATGTTTTTTGACATCTTCAGAGTTGTTGACCTTCTGGCTTTTGGTCAATGTTAGCATCATTTTATGACACTTTCTCCTTTCCCACGTTAGCCTATAATTCAGCAGTGGTTGCAACAGAAATGGCCACAATTCAGGCAGAAAGTATTTGGTTTCTTTGCTCCTCTGTAAGCCTGCGATGGACTGGTGACCTGTCCAGGGTGTACCCCACCTTTCGCCCGATGTAAGCTGGGATTGGCTCCAGCCCCCCCATACCCTGTATGCAGGATAAGCAGTTGACAATGGATGGATGGCCCCTCTGTAAGACATCTCAGGGGCTTTGATTACCCCTTGTATTACAGCTGACACAGGCTGTTAATTATTTAAAATCGTACTCGAATTGTGACCGTGTGAACAAATGTGGTCAGGTCTGTAATCTAAACGCGATTTACCTGAATAAAAGGTTATGTTCTCAGATGTTCCATTATTACACTCACCTAAAGGATTATTAGGAACACCTGTTAAATTTCTCATTAATGCAATTATCTCATCAACCAATCACATGGCAGTTGCTTCAATGCATTTAGGGGTGTGGTCCTGGTCAAGACAATCTCCTGAACTCCAAACTGAATGTCAGAATGGGAAAGAAAGGTGATTTAAGCAATTTTGAGCGTGACATGGTGGTTGGTGCCAGACGGGCCGGTCTGAGTATTTCACAATCTGCTCAGTTATTGGGATTTTCACGCGCAACCATTTCTAGGGTTTACAAAGAATGGTGTGAAAAGGGAAAAACATCCAGTATGCGGCAGTCCTGTGGGCGAAAATGCCTTGTTGATGCTAGAGGTCAGAGGAGAATGGGCCGACTGATTCAAGCTGATAAAAGAGCAACTTTGACTGAAATAACCACTCGTTACAACCGAGGTATGCAGCAAAGCATTTGTGAAGCCACAACACGCACAACCTTGAGGCGGATGGGCTACAACAGCAGAAGACCCCACCGGGTACCACTCATCTCCACTACAAATAGGAAAAAGAGGCTACAATTTGCAAGAGCTCACCAAAATTGGACAGTTGAAGACTGGAAAAATGTTGCCTGGTCTGATGAGTCTCGATTTCTGTTGAGACATTCAGATGGTAGAGTCAGAATTTGGCGTAAACAGAATGAGAACATGGATCCATCATGCCTTGTTACCACTGTGCAGGGTGGTGGTGGTGGTGTAATGGTGCGGGGATGTTTTCTTAGCACACTTTAGGCCCCTTAGTGCCAATTGGGCATCGTTTAAATGCCACGGCCTACCTGAGCATTGTTTCTGACCATGTCCATCCCTTTATGGCCACCATGTACCCATCCTCTGATGGCTACTTCCAGCAGGATAATGCACCATGTCACAAAGCTCCAGTCATTTCAAATTGGTTTCTTGAACATGACAATGAGTTCACTGTACTAAAATGGCCCCCACAATCACCAGATCTCAACCCAATAGAGCATCTTTGGGATGTGGTGGAACGGGAGCTTCGTGCCCTGGATGTGCATCCCACAAATCTCCATCAACTGCAAGATGCTATCCTATCAATATGGACCTTGTTGAATCAATGCCACGTAGAATTAAGGCAGTTCTGAAGGCGAAAGGGGGTCAAACACAGTATTAGTATGGTGTTCCTAATAATCCTTTAGGTGAGTGTATATTTTCTCCTAGAAACATTTAATCACACAGCACATGCTCTAGGCCTATATACTGTATTTAGCCCCTACTGTGAAAAGGGATCAAGTGATTTGGTCTTGCACTTGCATACATTTGGGGTTTGATTCACAAGACTTAAAAAGTCAAATACAGAAGAAGCATCAGAGGCTCCAAAAACACTGGATCCTTCATTTCCCATAATACAACTCATTGGCATCTTTTCATTAGACAATCCCTACCTCGTAAAACCTCACGTCTTTCAAACTCAACTTCCAGTTTGCAACGCAGGTTTTCTGTTTTGAATTTGTAGTCATAACACCTGATGATGTCGTCAGGAGTTATTCTCCAAGATGTGACGAAGCTCCCCCAAAGCCAGAAAACATTCAACTGTTTTCACAGAACATCCTCATGACTAGTAAACATATTTTACATATAAGTTGTTCAACACAATTTTACTTTTAGTTCTTACATTCAACCTGAAGTGTACAATGTCTAAACTGCAAAACAACTTTACTCCAACCATGTTCTGCCCCACCATCAGTGTCAACGAAGGAACCAGTAGTAGCATCTCATCTACAGCGTGGGAGCTGATTGGACACACGAGTGCTGGTTCAGTCATTTTCAAGAGGTTTGGGGGTGGGGGGCTTGTCACAGTAGCCTGCCACCTACTCCCAAAAACACAGCTCACCCTCAGCAGTGAACAGTGTGTGCAGATGGACAGAAGAGGTACCTGCTGTGTGGGCAGCACAAAATTACATTCAACATCCTCGCCTAATGGCACTCACCAGCAGCAGAGTCAGTGGGATTATGAGTGCTGCGATAACGCTCATTTTCTGCTTGGAGGAACTCAGGTTAAACTGAAAGTCGTGCGTGTGTAAGGTCAGAAATAGCACTGGTTTGCAGTGTTTAATATAGACCTAGCACACAGTAACTACAGGTCATGCATGAAGGGTTTCATCTATGACTCATGACAGTGTCCCTTGAAATTGAGGGACTGAAGTTAGATTTTGAAGAGTCTGCCTTTCCTAGCTGGCCATAAAATCCACACTCTGGCCTGAAGGTGGTGCCAGAGGTGTAGCAGCATTAACCCCTTGTATCCTCTGGTGATGAGTTAGGCTGCTTTAATACAATGAAGGTGCCCTTGTAGAGGATCAGCTTAGCCAAACCATTTTTTGGGCCCAAGTGCTGTACAAACCAATGAATACTACCATACATTTGGCAAAAAGTTTCAATCCCATGTTATTTGTATTGGGGATGAAAGTCAGCCTCACATTTGTGTAATGACACCTTTTAATATGACTAAGGTGTCATGTTTGCCACAGGAGATTCATGTAGATTACAGCTCCTCAGAACACCTACACATGTCACTTTGTACATGATTACAAACATTGTTTGAGGCCTTTTGCTTCCAGCATTATCACATGGTGGTTCATTTAGCATAGTTGAGTATTAACAGGGAAATAGCTTTCAGTGTATAAAGCTGCCATTAAAACTTGTACCCTTGCATGTGAGGATTACATGATCCCAGTGGTCAGCAAGTTCAGCTGCTTATATTCAAATATGCAGTTGCAGAGCCAGTAGGCACCTTACCAAAAAACAGATTTTACTAGAGTTCTCTTAATGAGGTCATGTGAGCTTCTCTTGATTAAAACCTTTGTGGCATTTATTTTAGATATTGCAGCGGTCACATGCAGTTGCAAACAGCCCAATATAGGAGTACAGTCGCACTGGTGAGCACAAAAACCAAAGCTTTAACCCCTATGAGACACCAAGGTGAATGCAAAAAAACTGAGAGCCTACACACTTGGCAGAATTTCATCTTTACTCCCACCTGTAGTTGGCACACATTTTAATCCTCTAAGAAGTTGAGCCAAGCTGTAGAAACTACTAACATTTAGCACAACCTTACAGGTGCCAAGTTTAGTTCAAATATTGAAACACCAATGTATACATTTAACTTTAAAATGCTAACGGATGCATTTTAAAGAGAACTGCTAGTATTTAACCTTCACTCTAAATACAAATTGTTACTGCCATCTACTGGGAGGCCAGAGCAATGTCAAGGCAAAGTACAAAGTTTTATTGAATTTATAAACAGAAATACACTGAAACAATACATCAATGTAACTTAACAGGAGGGGGCAGCTCAACATCCTACAAAAAAAAAAGTCTGTTAGAGAATCATCCTGATCTACACATTACCCAGATGTTTCTTAAACTGCACCTTGATCTTACCGTCTTCACGTCTTTAATAATGGCCAAGCCATGCTCAGCAACCTCAATGTCACTTTCTGTGTCGTTGTGCGTGCAGTACTCTTCACTTGCTGTCTCCATGCTACTGGGCTGAGAAATTGTCAGTATTAATGGGGTTGTGTATTTTCCAAGTGTTTACTGTGTTTTCATGAGAAGCTAATATAACAATACATTAGACATGTTACCATGCATGCATATTTCTAGCATTCAAGTGGAGGGGATATCACCCTGAACACCAACCTCATAGTCGGGATCCTCCTCAGGGAGGTCTTCGTCAGTGAGCTCTTTAGACAATGTTGCCACCCAGGTTGGCTGCTCTTCATCCTCATCCTCCAACTCATCCTGCTTTCTCTTGCTGCCCTTTCCACAAGGTTTAGTAGGAGAGACTCTGATTTCTGTTGGGAAACAAGTTTGAAAAAGCTGGCACCAAAATGTGACAACTGTTCCCTGGTTGTCCATCAGCACATTTAGATGTCCACCTTGCTACCTACAAAGCCACCATGGTGAAGTGGGCTACCACATGCCATTAGTTCAGGGTTGTTTTCTTCTGAGAGCACTCCCTACTGTCACCTTAGAATTCACTTGTCTTCATTGCACCATTTGTTACTTTCACTCAGCCCCTAGGTATCCATGCCATTGATTGAGTGTACATTAATGCTATTGCCATTCTGATTGTTACTCAGATCTTTACTGATGCTAATGTTTCTCAAATGTAACATTGGAGGAAAGCATCTGCTAAATGTTTAGATTAAATGAAGTTTTAGTAAATTTACCCCCTCATGAGCCTAAGGTAGTCTTAAAATTTGTCCTCTAAACAGTTCAGTGAAGAATGTGTCAGTGTCTGAAATATAGAAGATGTTTGATTACTGAAATCAAGCACAATGATAAACAAAAGCTCCAAGACAAAGTGACTCAGTGTAATTAGCCGTAGAAAATGGCTGAATGCCCAGTTTAAGGTCGGTCCCTCGCGGGCCCCTGTTGAAACTACCAAAAGAAAGGAGTTCTTGCCATCGAGTACTGTAAGGTATTAGCTCGATGAAAATTAAATATTCACGAACTATATACCCGCCATACCTGGCGAGAGGGAGCGTCCAATGCTGCTGGACACCGGGTAACCCAGGCCGCTCTGCACCCAGCGGGGAAGGATGGACAGCAGCAGGCGGGTGACCCGGCGCAGGCGCTTGCGGCCGGCGAGGCTCTGGCGTGCAGGGCTGGAAACCGAGGGACTGACGAGGGGTCTCTGCTGTGGCTGCCGGAAGCCCAGCATCCACCAAAAACCTCGGTACGCACGTACCTGTTAATCGAGAGCCATGTTTAGTCATATGTAACGCTAATAGGTTAGAGTCTACCAGACATAAGTGCTGCTCGTACCACGATGCCGAATGGCCACAAGAGGCCGCGCAGCATGAAGCGAAACACACCGTCCTTCCTCACTACTCTGTCCTGCAGGCCAGGAGACAAAACGGGTGAAAACTTGAACAATTTACAGTCATGCTGATGGAAGTCATCTCTAGCGACAGGAACGGATTACATGACCACTTAGCTTTGATTTGTCTGCCCACCATCACCTCAGTATTTTCGGCCTGCTCCTGCTCCACGGCGTCTCCACAAATTTCTGAAGTCATCCTGCTTCGGGTCAAAGCCTGGTGGTCCTTGCCGGGCTGCAATGACAAAGATGAAGGGCTAAGGTATGTGGGAGGTTTGGAGGGTTAAATATACCCGGAGGTTGCCACGGTGTAGCCAATAAACAGAGACAAATTCACCTGGCGCAATCAAAGAGGACCAATGAGCAAATCCCGCCAATTAACCTGCAACAGGCCAAGAAATGGCGGTCACGTGACCGGTTTGGACATGATGAAAGCCGTTAAATTTATATTTTGATCAGAAACTAGTAACATGCTGAAATGTCAAATAGCTTACTACTGCTGCTGCTGCGGTCAGGTAGGAAACCCTACTTACCTAAACTGCATATGTTAAATGATCTGTATGTTACTGCAATAGGCTACGTCTAGATTTTTTTGTTACATAACAGGTAAAAAAAATTAAAACAATTGAACTTACATAATGATTTTAAAATCACCAGGAATTCAAATATAACAGATTCTTTAAAACTTGAAAACAAACATGTAGCTTAAAAACAAAATATGTAACTGTTACATTTCAAAAAGTAACCCACTTTACAGTTAAACAAAATATTTTGAATGATCGTGAATGCTACAAGCTAAATTACATCTTAAATATCTTGTGTGCCTCTAAAACAAACATAAAAGTAATGCTAGCTTGTGAGACTTCCTGTTGATTGCTCTTGATTTACAGCACTAACATTATAGATGTTTCCTAGCCACACATTTACCAAAGTCTTTCTTCTTAGGATGGACTTTACCTTTGAACTTAGTAATGGATTTATGAACAGCTGGAGCAAACCAAATAAGACAGAAACCCTAAGGTTAACATTTCACTTGCACTTTGGGAACAAGATGTGATCACTTCATGGATTTCATGTTTCATAATATATGATTGAATGCTGCTGAGGAGGTCTATATAAATTTCCTGAACAGTAAGCTATGCTTTTACTTATAAAATAAAAATCATCTGTACAACAATCAATCATTAGTCAACTTGGTCAGTTAATATAGTCACCTTTTGTACATAATAGTCCCATCTGTTCTATTTGTCCAGATTTCTTATCCTTGTTCTTAGCTGCTCTGTCTGTTCCTGTGTAATTAATATAATGAAAAAAGTGAGTCAAATTCCTTGTATGTTTACAAATAGTTTCTCCATGTAAACATTAATAAAACAAAGTAATACCTAATTTACAAGATAGGCCTATGTGAAGAAAATAGGTGTATATACGAAACTTTTCTTGTGTCTGTGAAATATCTGATTATGCTAAACTAACTGATAATAGTATGTTATTGGCATAATGTTTCATATTTCAAGGTATGTCATGCTGTTTTTGTTAAATGTAACTTAAAATCTTGAAGATCATTATTAAACAGCATTCATGTTTCAGCTCAGATATGTCGACCGTATTCCATATTAGCTCTTTTATTGTAAATGTTAGGGCTGGGATGATATACCTATCTTCCGATTCCATACCATCATGATACTTAGGTGCCGATTCAATATGCGATTCTTAAGTATTCTGATTCTACAAATACTGCAATTCAATATCGATATAACTTACTAACAAAAATGCCAAACATTTCTTAGTTCCAGCTTCTCAAAGGTGCAAATTTGCTGTTTTTACTACAGTATCTATACTATATTGAATAGTTTTGGACTGTTGGTTGGACAAAACAAACAAGACATCGTCCTGGGCCTTAGGAACATGTGATGGGCATTTCAACAATTAATTAATTGATTGAGAAAATAATCTGCAAATTCGCTAATCGCTAATGAAAATAGTCAGTAGCTGCGGCCCTATTGCACACAAAAAATCTGACTGAAAGTATTTAACCATGACAAGTTGAATAGTTTGTTCATAAAAATTAGGAACATGTTACGCACAGACGCTCTGAGAGGCATAGAGATTCTGTATCTCTGTCCGCTCCTTAGCATCTGAAGAGGTTCAATAGAGAGAGGCCTGTCATTATGCTTCCATACTTGACAAGATCCCTAATTGGTAACCATTTCCGCCTCTGGTTTTCGTCACATATACGCATCTGTTGATGTGTTTGATGTTGGACAAAATATGGGAAGTAGAGAAGTATAAAAGCTTGCCAGTCTGCAGCCAAGCCTCTGTGCAATGAGAGAGTGAGAGACATTCAATGATGGATAAGAGCACAGTCACACGGACGTTCAGCATTGGCACTATATGCAGTGGAACCAAAGCTTCAGATGATTTCTACTCAGCACGCAGGCACAGCAGTGCAGGGATCCGTGCACTCTTGTGGGCTACCAGCAGTGCAAAGTCCTTTGGATGTTCTCTTGGATCAGACTCCTTGACAAGCCGAGAGAACATTTTTCCAAATATCCTGACACCTGACAGCATCCCACAGTTCACTATACCAAGTTTGTCTGTGCAGAACAGTTTAAGATCATTGGATAAAGAGAGAGAGGAGGATTATGCAGAGTCAGAAGAAGGCTTAGGGAGTTCTGGGACTGAGCCAAAGTCATATTTATCTGCCTCTCCGCCCTCCTCCACGCTCTCATCATCCACATCGTCCTCAGGCTTCAGTCTGGTTCTGTCAGACCGCAGGGCTGAGCGCAGTGTCTCAGACCCCTTTACTCAGAGGAGATCTCTTCTTCAGAGGGAGGCGTCCTATCCCCGCTCCTACATAGAAGCCCAGCATTGCCTGGACCCTGCCAGCAGAGCCGCTCTCTCCCTGCCACACCTAACCAAAGTCACCACCCCGTACGGCTTCATCACCTTGAGCCAGAGCCCACAGATGGCGAGCGAGGAGGAACTTCTCTACCAAGCTGGGCTATGGCGCTTAAACAAGGACGAGGAGACTGCATCCTGCCTTAGCAAAGCTCCAGGGACGAGGACAGTGGACAACAATGGCAACTCCTCTCACCTGTCAGGAGACGATAAGAGACTGACTAAAGACTCAACTTACTCGCAGAATAAAGGAAGATCAGTAAAGGGAGAGATAAAAGTTTCTTCTACCTCCTCCATCAACACTACAGCTTCAACCTCCTCTACACTCAGACACCCAGACAGCAAGCGTAAGCGGCGCTTCTATGAGGTTATAAAGAAACACTTCACCTCCCGCCATTAGGAATTAAATCATGGGACTGACTTGCAGCAATGCCAAGGAGACGTGTTTAACAACTTAACATGGTTTAAATTTTGCATTTATTCATGTAAAAAAGTGCCGCTTGCCATAAATCTCTTTATGAAATACACAGTTTTTGTCTTGTGTCAGTAGACAAAAATGTCTGTATGACTGAGCTGTGGAAAATGTGCCAGTTGTCGTCACTTGAAAAAAATTAAACCAACAGACTGCTGCACTGTTGTGTGTATTACGTTTGAGTCTTTCATTGTCATCTTTTATTTATAAGTTCCTGTTTCTTGTGTTGAGGAGCACGGAGGGTCACCTTTAAGATTCTCATAACAGACAGAGTGAATACTTCACATCAGCCATGTGTTTAAGGTTAATGAATTCCTCCACTGCTTTCAAGGTGTAAATGTCACCCCTTTAAAGCTGCCTGCTCATATTCAGCCCCCCTCTTGAATACCTCTGTATACTTTCCACAGTAAACCTGAACTGCATGTCCCACAGTAGTAAATGTCTGCTGATGCTTTCTCAGGCAGAGTAACCAAGCAGTTGTCCTTGCTCCTTTGCATATGAAGAGCTTCAGTGGAGAGGCCCTTAATGATGGTCAATTAATGCGTCCTAAAAGCCTCAGCTCTCCCACACAGTAAAATTTAGTGGGTAAATATCACCATGACGCAGATTTCTCTGCTCTAAGTGGAGGGCGAGAAGAATACAAGAGTGAGTCCCGGAACACAAGAATAGATTAAGGTGATCTGAATTTATAATCACTCGCCATGTTCTGTATGTGCATGACGTAAGTGATTTTAAAAATGAATGAAAAAAGGCAGGAGTGCCCAGATGAGGATAAACCTAGCTTTGTAATCTTGAGAACATACACATACACACACACACACACACACACACACACACACACAGCAATTTGCAAGTCTGTTTAAGTCACTGAATTTAACTGCATTGTGTTATACTGAGAGATGTTTCTTATATTTATTTTATCTTCAGTGACCCTAACCCAGTCATATAAATGAGGTCAGCAAAATGTCAGAAACATCTCTCAATATATAGGAATACAGTTAAACAGCACCACAAACCACATCCTCCTAAATGATCATAGTTGAATCACTACCTTTCTAGGTCAGGTCCGACAGAAACTGAACATAATTTATTCCAGGGATGTTGTATCAGACTGCATTAGTTGTATGTTTACCTGATAAACTGGCAACACAGTGTATATCTGTTGACTAATTGAAATATCATTGGACTGTATATAAAGACACCGGACATAACCAGTGCTTCCCTAACCTTGTTGGTCATGCCAGCATTTGGAAGCCAAAGAAAATGTCACTCTCTCCTGTTTAGTGATGGGCATTACGGCTCTTTGAGGGGAGCTTGGCTCCTAAACGGCTCTTCATTTAGTACATTTAGTAATTCTAAGTTACATTCTTGTTTGTTGCAAGATATAAAAATGCAAGATTCTCAATTGGCAACACATTGAAATATATTACTTTTTTTGACATACTGATAGTCAAAAAGTGTGAAATGTCAAGAATAACTGTCTTAGTTATATAATAAAAATGACAGCCTGCTAATGAAAATGAAATAGAATGGTTAATAAGTAATTACACAAGTCTTTACAGACACATACTGTATATTTATATTTCAATTAGCAGAAATGAATTTAACTCCTGTGAGATTAATAAAGAACCCAAAAGCAGCAGTATCTTCTTCATGTTTTTGGATTGGAAACCATGTGCGGCTATTCTATAACAAAGCTGCTCTTTAGCTCCTTATGACGCTGCTTTACATTTGGTTATGTACTGGGGTTCACTTGTCGGTCACAACATCTTTACACACTGTCATCATGTTTTTCAATGAGATTGTGGCTGGTAAGGTATAAATACAACTGAACTGATACTGAATAACCTGAACAGCCCTTTGCACATGTGAGTCATTCTGAAAGGGGAGTACTTCAGCAGCGCAGGCTCCACCTGAAGCATACACTCCACGCAGCACAACAGCACTAATAATGACTCCATTCAGATATTAGAATATAATATCATAGACCCATTGTGTGGGAGTTTTGTATATATCACTGACGTCACACAGGATATCCCAAATTGGTCACTATAGTTGTTTGGTCCTGTGGCTTTGTCACACTGTTGGTTTATAAGTAGCATTGTGGTGTGAGACTTGATTTCTTTGTTTATTATAAATATTAATGCTCTTTGTAATTTATATTGAAGATGCTTCATAGGCTTTCTCACATACTCACCATTTATAGAAGCATTTTTTTGCCATGCTAGCAGCATGAAATATCAACTATTGGATGGATTGTACAGGCATTTATGATCCCCAGAGGATGGATCCTAATGGTGATCCCTGACATTTCCTCTAGTGCCACCAGCAGATCAAAGTTTTCTTGAGATTTGTGGTTTTGAGTGAAATGTCTCCACAACATCTTGGATGGATTGTCCTAATATTTGGCACAGACATTCAGGTCTCCCTCCAGATGAGTCATTTTTGTGATCTTTTGGCTTTACATGGAACATCACGTCAGAATTTCACTTTTTTACAACCAGATCCCTGCAAAACTAATGAAATTCCCAACAGCCTCCGCTGTACTTTGTGTTTAGCGCTAATTAGTGTTAACATCCTAACACATTAAAGATGATAAATTATCATTATACCTGCTAAACATTATACCAGTTAAACATGTCAACATTTAGGCCAAAGAATTGCTACCTAAGTACGGCAAGCCTCACAGAGCTCCAAGTACATCAGTTCACACCTGGCATTAGAATGCGTCTTCACAAAAAACTTTCAATTTGATTTAAGGTATGGATTATAAAATCGAAATCCTAGTCTGAATTATCAAACCCATTTCTTAGATTTAATCTAGTCTTATTACAAAAAAGTGATTCAAAGCCTACATGCCTTGCAGAAGTTCCTTTGAGCAAGACTGACCTCTGACCTCCCAGCAAAAGAGCTGCAGAGGACAATAAATCATCAACTATAACTTAAAACATGCACTGTAAATGCCTTTAATATTTCCCATAGTGCAATGCTCAATAAAAGAAGTTCCTTCATTGCATGATGTATAGGACGTACAGAATAGAATTTACATTCACTACATGAAGTTATCTAACTAAATATTTGTCCAGAATTTCCCTGTTGTGTAAGATATGGACAGTCATCTCTGTCTTTATCTGCTTAAAGGTTTCACCTTTTCCTTTAAAGTTAGTGAAAGCAAAAGCCCCAACATATAAGTACCAGTCCTGCAGAGGGCATTGCATGTGTAAAGACTCAAACTGCATCATCCAGAAGAGAGAACCTCACGCTGAGGCTGCACATGGCAAATGTAGATCGACTGAGAGAAAGGAAGAAACAAGAGTGCAAATTGAAGGGGCTTTGGTAAGTCTGCTCTTCCCCATTCTGGCAGGTTGAGGTTTCCTTAGAGAACTGTCGTGCCCTCAGAACAGACGCAACTTTTCCGGTACCAAACCTCAAGCTCAGGTTGAAAACAATTAGTGCAAAAGATAACGAGCAGAAAATTCACTTGAAAGCATGCAGCTACACAGACAAGAGAGAAAGCAGCAGAGAAAAAGTGACAGAGGGAGTAACTGACAGACGGGAAGTCTTTCGTAAGCTTCACATACGCTGCATTCAGCGACAGTAGTGAAGTGTGAGAGCGGTGGAGGAACAGGTAAAGTGTTGTAACTTTGTAGATTCCTGATGGCATCTGATCCTGGCAGCAGAGCGGAGGAACAGCCACCAGCGCTGCCTGTCAAACAGCACAGGTAAGACAAAATAATTTGACATCTCATTACAAGTTTGTAATTATTCTACAGATTGTCTTATTGGGTTTTCACTGGGTAAAATCATCTTATAAACTTTCTTAAAAGACCCTAATTATTTGGATATGTAAATATCCTTAATTCGGTGTCCTGCAGTGCATGCCCTTAAATGTAAAATGCACCACAGAAAACACATAAGAACTAATATTATAGATATAGATACTTTTTGCAGATACAAACTTTCCATTGGACCTTAGTTTTGTTTTTACCCATCTGTTTATGCACTGTGAATATATTCATGGTAGAAGGGTAAAGTTCTTTTGTTATTCTGTGCATTTCATTACACAGGAGTCACTCCTACAGAGGCTCCAGTGTGGGGTCTGACTGTGTCATGCTCAGCCCTGTCGGACTCCAGCGTCAGAACTACGCATTCAACGATGTCTTCCTTGAACCCACTGATTGTCATGCAGCCCAGTGCCCCATACACCAGCGATACGGTGGGTTTGCAAAATGATGAAGTGAGTTCAATTGAGGGGAAGTAGTCGCATGTACTAAATGCCACTAAAAACAAAAACAAACCTACAGCTATACAGCTCAATGTGATGGAAAAAAGACATAACACACTGTAACGCGTGGTTCGTTTCTTCTCATTTCGCCTTTCCCGTGAGAACTGAAAACGAGGAAGTAACTGTCTGAAACTTTTGCTTTCAGTAACATGCATGTGATATTAAGATCGGTTACAGTGACACTGTGGATGCAGGCACCCTTTCTAATATAAGAGATGTTGGGTTCCAAACTGTTACATGTTCATTGCTCTTGCTCACTGTTCAAGTCTGACCTAAATCCCTCTCACTGTGTTGCTCAGATCCCTCCCGACACCAGGAGAGATTTTTCTCTGATGGCACCCCGCCGCCTGTTCCAAAGAAGAGGTTAGCTCGTACCCTCTCCCTCCCTGGCATCGATGGGCCTCCACTCTCTCCTCTGTCTCCACTGCAAAGACACCCTCAAAACTTTGACAACCCCCTGTACATGCTGGCACCCATATCAGACACCTGTTGCCACGAGGAGACAGAAGAGTTTAAATCAGCCAGAAGGAGTCCTGTCCCTTTGTTGCCGTTGTCCCAGCTGTCCTTTCACACCCCAGACGAACATCTGCCCTACCTCTTCAGCAGCTTTGACGACCAGAGGGTTGTTTGTCAGGGGATTCAGCATCGCCATCTTCTCTTCCTGAGAAGTATGGCACAGAGCGTGGAGGCCGGTATCCTGCTGCAGGGAGAGGCCTCAGAGAGGGACGTCAGCTCATACCAGCCTCAGGATTTCCTGCTGTGCGAGGGCAGCAAGCCTAAGCAGATTGGAGACACAGTTTACTACGGCCTGCGCAGCCCCAAGCTTCTAGGGAAGGTGCTTGGTTTAAGGGTAATGCTACAGCTCTTTTATTCACTCCACAGTTTACATTATGTTCTATTATGATCATGCATGATGTTAAAATGTCCAAATGTCCTGTTGTTCAGTTGCAGCCACTTTGCACTTGAAATTGCATGCAAAACAAAGTAGTCTGCACATTGCACACAGCAACCAGTAATACAAGCACGATCTTTATCAACGGTGGTAACCGTGACACTGACTTGTGGTGCCAGAAACACTTCCTTTAAAACTGTCATCAGGTGTCACAACAGCGACAGGGATATGACACTATTGCAATGCAAGGGTTTCCTGATGATGACTTTAGTTTGATGAGCGTCTCTGTTTTCCATCTTTCTGTGCAGGTGCACAAGCAGACTGATGAAGCTTCGTCAGCTCACACCCAACACCAGTCATCGCATGTCAATGTGCAAGATATTATTGCTCATTTCCAGCCAAGCAACACAGTGAAGAATGATTCCGGCATCTTGCAGGCTCAAGATCCCTCTCCTCCTTTAAAGTCAGACTGCACTGCCGCTAAACCAGCAGGTGGAGGCAGCACTGAGAACTCCACAGATCGCATGAACATTAACCTGCCCTCAGTTCAGTCTTTCCTCCAGAAAGGACACCCAGTTAGCGTTGAGAGAGACCTGCCACATGCCACTCTAGAGGACTTTGTTCAGGATAGCTGCTTGCTGCAGAGCACAGATTGTTTGCATTATGACAGACAGGTATGTGTTCTGTTGCTGCAGATATTATTGGGCTCACAACATCTGTACGTCAGTGCCACGGCAGCTGAGTTCAAACCTCAGAAGATCTTTTTAGTGTGGCCCAACGGAGAGAAGAGAGAGGGAGAAAACGTGTTAGAACAGGATGCTGCTGAAATGAAGGAGGGCTTCAAGACCAGTAGGCCTAGATTTAAAGAAGAAATGGAGTGGGAAAAGACAAAGAAAGGAACGATCCAGATGTCATGGAGGTCACACGGTTCCCCTCGTGTAGTGTTAACCCCGCTATCATCTGCTCTCTCTGTACCTCACCCCCTCACCTACATCAGATCCCAAATTGGAGCGCTAATTCAATACTGCCTCGACTCACAAGAGAGCCTGACACCTCTGGGCTCAGTTCCAACTCTGCCCAAGTCCTCTTACCGCAGGGGGCTTCTTTATCTGGCCTCTGAGCTCCAGAGTGAGAGCAGTGGGCCACAGATGCCTGACATGGTGGCCATGCTTCAAGTGCTCCTCTGGGGGCCACGTGACCCACTCTTCAATCACAGAGGCTCTACGGCCGCCACTGTACACAACTGGCTGACGGTCAAGCGGGCCCTGCTGGTGATGAAGTTGGCAGAGAGAGGGCTAGTCCAGGATCAGTCTGTTCTGGACTGGGAGGACTGTATGTGCCTGCATTACCTGTCATTTGCAGACCCTGAGACAATTGTGAGCGTGACCAGTCAGCTATGGCTCACTCTGAATATGGACTGACATTTAGAGTGAAAAGTTGGGAGTCACGGGAGTTGATGGTTAATTAGTCAACCATCAGTCGCTTTATGTACTGTGGTCAAAAATACACTAAGAATGTGTATGTAGTTTCCATCCTTCAACAATGTTTTCCCTATACTGCTCATCATAATGCAAACCGATCTAATAAAATGCTCGACTTGTTCAAATGAGTGAATATTTGCTGCTGTAAAATCAGTCATTAAAAGGCCATGAAAACGTATTTTCTCAATCAGCTTCGGTATTTCTCTGAAGAAAAAAAAAAGCATACAGAGATCTTAACAGCATTTGTCTGTGACTTCACAAGACCACAGACGCCACTCTGTAAGGTGAGCAATTTTATTTAGTACAGTTACAACATGCAGATTTCTATCAAGTGAATCAATGCAACAAATGAAAATCATGCACACGTAAAAAAAAAAAAACCCTCAATATAAACAGGATAATCAAATGATAATTACCATTAAAACATATCTACTTACATGAGTAGGATGAATTTAAATTTATCATAAATATTACACTGTGGAGATGATCTTCACGGTGTTCAGGGAAGGTAAACAGGAAGTCAGCACTATCACATCATGGAAAGTAATACAGGGTATTATGTGGGCGCTTACTTTACATTCCTGGTATATTAACATCTTACCCTAGTGCAAATATTGAAACACAGCACATAGTAGGTACAGGTAAAACAAACAAAAAGCAACCTTTCACAGGACACCTCAACCATACGTAACTTGGATCATATGTTCATTTCCAAAAAATTATAAAGATGTGTGGGTATGGATTAAAATAAGAACAACAAACATTTGTAACTGCTCAGCGTCATTTAATCATCATCAGAGGAGTCTCGCTCGATGCTGTAAGCCATGAAGAAAGCGTCAGGGCGGGTGGGAACAAGGGGATGACCCGGTCTCACAATCTCAAAGCCCAGGAAACTGAATGTCCGCAGCAGGGATGCTGAGGAGAGATAAGATGTGAATAGATGTAAATCTCTAAGACTTGATTCCTCACCATGACACTACTATCCAAAATAAAGCACACGCAAAACTGCTGAGAAAGGGCTTAGAGTTAGTGTACATATATAGTACAGATTTAAGCACGTTGACAAATAATGTAACCCAAAAAAAAATTTTAGGTTGAGAGTCAAAGTTAAGGTGGGGTCAGTTTCCAGTTGGGTCGGTTCCCGGTTTTGTCGGTCCACTGTAAGAGCTTAAACCGGTTTGAGTTTATGCAAACTTACTAAACCGGCATTTGTCATTATGAGACGTCCTGACAAATTAAAAAAAAGGATCCTACATCAGCAATCTGTGCCGACGGCGCTGAATCCATCTTTGCATTGCATTAGTAATAAGCAATATGACAACATGACATTATGTTGTCAAAATTACTTTTTCAAACTCACTTGTTACTTGACTCTCCCGTGTGTGTATACCTCACTCTCTGCCTCGAGTCACAATGCACAGATTTGAGTGGCTAAGTAGCGACACATAACATGATTTACAATGCATGCAATTGGTTTCCGAGTTTCCTGGGCCGCTAAACTAGTAAGTCTGGGTCAGATTGGATGGTGCCTGTGTCTGGACCCGGAACGTCTATTAGAGACCTTGGCTTTAGAAGAAAAAATGTTAAAGTTAAATGGTTGTTGGGAGAAATAAAAACACGTGTCACTCAGTTGTCCTGATCATGGTTCCGCTACACTCTCATGGGATCATAAGAGCTTAACAAGCCACACCTAGTGGTAGAAACTTGTATTACTGGTCCAGTATATGGCTTAATATCAAACCGGTCTTTTTACACTAGCCCAAAACAAATCACAGTCACAATAAGAACCATCTGAAACACTGATAATTTATTAACTTATTGAAATATTGTAAGTGTTTCTGTGGAGCCCAGGGAGAGCAGCTACCGTTGGTGTTAAAGCAGCTAATAAAAAATAAAAATGGACAATCCACATATGCAGGTGTCTCCTGACTGTACATTTGCAGGTACAAAGTCAGCATCTTCTCTGTCACGATAAAGCTGAATTTCATTGGCCACATTTAACCTGATGTAAATTTCTTTTCAACTCATTGACTACATTTATTAAAGTAAAATTGTCAGTAATTAGTCTTATAGTTAACTCTGACTTTGCCATGCTAGGGGAAAATATATAACTGTGAAACTGTCTAAAATCTATTCTAATTGTTTAGAGCTTCAGTTATATTTGACCTCGCAGTTTGATTATTTCTTTGCCATGAACCAACTCCGTTTCTTGTGTTTGTAATGTTACTTCATGGGGACCTCCTTCATCAGTTTGTAACTGAATGATACAAACTGGATTTACAAATCAAGTGGTACTATTCATCCTACTATCCTTTATGTGAAAATCTAAAAAATGAATGTTGTACACCAGTGTTTCTATATCAAGCATTAAGAGTTTATGAAGCCCAGACCAAAAAGTCTCACCTCTATCGTCACGACTCTTGTGAAAACAGATGAACGCGTGATCAACCTGCAGCTGCTCTTCTGCAAATTCCAACAGAAGGGCCAAGCTGTAAAGAAACAACGCAAACAAAAAGGTGTTACTGTATTATAGGGGGGATGTTAATGAATTTCAGAAGAAAACAATCTTTCATGATGATCTAAGCACATTTCTATGAATCATACATACATCATACAAGTCTGTTTTTACTTTACTGCCATTTGACAAAATAATTGAATTGATTAAACTCAACTTTTGTTTAATTTCATTAATAAAAACAACCCAACTTGCTATGTTTCAACCGAAGACAAAATACTGACCTGTCTTTGCTGCCCTCGGGCAAAGCTCCAGGAGGGATTTCAACATAAAGGTTCCCTCCTTTCAGCGCCGCCCTCCAGACACAGTGCTTGCCCTCAGAACGACGGGGCTCAAAGAGCAAGAAACGCACTCTGCCGTTGGCAGGTGGAGGCTCCTCAAGAACAAGCAACTGGGTATCCTAGAGGACAGATGAAAAGTTTGACACAAAAGAAATGCATTCAGTTCACTTGACATTAAGAATAAAGTCAAAATTACAAAATGCAGGTTTAAAAAAAAACAACATCCGTGACTACTCAAATTAACTTATTATTGAAAAGGAAATTATGAAGTTAACAGCAGCTGTGCCAGATGGCACGTGAGCCCCTGATCTAAAAACACACTCCTACTAAGGCAAGAGGTCAAATTGCTGTAGGGAAAAAAATGAAAAGGTGGTTTAACTTACAGAATAGAATAGCTTAGCTGAAAGATTGCGATCCCGCTGGTCATTCCCTCGCCCACCTGGGATCTTCAGGGGTGGGAGAGGGGCATCAGGAGCACCACAGAGGCCCCGGACACGGGTTACTGCAACAGCGGGAGCACCTCCTGGGACTGGAGATACTGGACGGCGAAACAAACACACACACAGATGGAGCCATAAGCAGTGTATTCACTGGGGGTTCTTCTACCAAACACAAACCAGACTCCAAAAATAAGCAGCAGGCTTAGCACACACAACACCGTTGAGTGAAACAGTTGCTGCGAGTCCTAACAAAATACAAAACTGGGCGGCACAGTTCAATCAGTAACTGTCCTCATCAGACATTTGTGTGACCTGTTGGCTGAACAGGCAGGAAGCAGTTTGTAACACTACCACATCACTGATGAAAAATGAAATGCGATTAACATGTCAACTTTATGGTCAATTATTTAATACAGTTACTTGGGACAACTTTTGTTTTCGACTCACAAAGACATTTCACAATACTCATCACCGTCTCCTGAGGAAACATTTATTGTTCATGTAATAGAATGACATTTGTCTTCCTAAAACTAACAGATCCGTGTGCCTTGGTTTCTGTGGGATAACGTTAAGCCTGTCACATGATTCTTAGAGGAAGGCTGCCAGAAGAACAGGCTCTGTTTGTCTAACCATTAGCCTACTTTAGTCCTGCACTAACCGCACTGCTCCAGTTCACAACAGACGAGGACAAACACCTGTTTAGCGAGTGAGATCAGCCATTTTAATTCAGAGGCCAGCCAAAGCGCTCTATAGAATTAGCTTGGCTTGCTTGCGCAGGGCTCTGTGTGCGGCGCTGTACACATTTACAGTGCCGAGGGTGAGCCCATTCTCAGAGCGCCCGTCAGGAACACAAGCCATTAACAGCAGCAGTGCAGCCACAACGACGCAGACGCTCTCTTACGCAAATGCCACTGCTGTGCTATATGTGGAGCAGATGTGTGAAAACAAAATGAGAGCCATCGTTACTGCCATAGCTCGGGCCAGCCGAGTCAATATGTAATGCACTACTGCAAGGCATTGAGACTGCAAACTTGCTCAGGTTATTTCTTAATCTAATTATCAGATTATGTAAAACAGCCAGTTAACAGTAGTCCTTGAAACCTCCAAGCCCACAGCAATACACATTCAGGCATCAGGTTTGTCTTGGCAAAGGCAGCTAACTCTGGTCACATGAGTAAAGAGTCTCTTGAGCTCTTCATTGCATAAGAGCACCTTTGCCATGTATGACTATTATGTAATGAACCCCTCATCTCTAGGGGGACATTATAATTTAATATTATAAGGGCAAAGTATTGGTGCTTCAGGTGGACATCCAGCTGCTACCTTAAAGTAGACCAAAGGGTTTTAGCTGTGAGGGAATCTGTTAAAAAAAAAAAAAAAATGGACACCTACTAGTGTCTAAAAAAAAAAACACGTTTTAAAGAGAGAAAACAAATGCAATGTAACTCAACATATTTTACACAATCTTCAACCATCTCTACTAGGTGTTGCACAACAGTATCACCAGGGTCAACAGGAAAGTCTGAACATAACGATATATCTATCGATAAAGGACTAGCATCCGTATAACGTAACAATGTGTCATGACAAGACTCCACATGACACATTGTTGAGTCCCCCCCCCCTCTCGCAGTGCAGTGGAAATTTCCTACGAGTCCTTCACAACACTGTTGAGCTACAGGCAAACAAGCCTCGACCAGAAACGTATCAGCACAAGACTTGGGTAAATAAAATACAAACACACTCCTGGGCTAATCTGTCAAAGTTTTTGATTAACATTAAATCCGATATTTCCAGGCATCAACCCCCACTGTGTTCTTATTTCCAATCAATCACCACATTCAATTTAATGGGAACCAGTAAACAAGCTGGAGTCTAACGTTACTGACTGGCACAATTAATATAATACAAAATCAGATCGAATCGCACAGCAAATGTTACTTTAGGTGTTGATTAAATAGCTCGACCTATTGCCCCATTGTAAAACCTAATTGCTTCATCGGATCCTTTTCGACAAGTTACAGGATGTCAACGCTAGCTGGCACATCAGCCCGAGAACCAAGTGGAAAAAAACAAGCAGTGGAGCTACAGACGACCAATTCAGCGATCACTGCGACGGTTAGCAATAAGCTAGCTTTACATAACGTTGTTTAAATAGCTGTATTGTCCCATGTCTTCTAACAAGACAGAGGTAAAGATTTTATGTGAAATATAATCAAAATATCGCCTTCTTGTTGACACAGATTGTTTTCACTGCAACTGCGAAACAAAAAGTGAAAACATCCATGATATTACGTTAACGAAATGTTAGCAATAACGTTAGCCGTTAGCTAGCTATTCCCTATAGACATTCATGAGAAAAATAAGCCACCACACTCCAAATAATCGGGAAATATTGATATTCACACAAGATATTTTGAATAAAATATAAGACGCTAGATAAGGGACAGTCAGTGGCCCTGTTAACAGTGCTAACTTTAGCTAGCTAGCGCCTTAGCATTTAGCTAACGCATTTCTGTGGCGTTTCTCATATTAGCTTGTGCGTTAGCTTAGCTAGAGCGTGGATACCAACAGAACGTCCACAGTGATTTTGTCCATTTGCTGAATACCACTGTAAAGTAAATGTCACACAATCGGGATACAAGTCTGTAATTTAAGGTGATTCAGTAACTTAAATACGTTAAACGAAATGGTTTCAAACCAAATGCGACTGATGCTATTGATTGATGTATTTCGGAAACGTCAACTGAAATAATGCTGTTATGTAACGTTAAACGAGGAACATGGGGCACGGTGCTAGCCACTCCTGGAAATATACCGATCTCTTGGGTAGGCCGCGGTTTTTAAACTTGCCTTAGCTCGCTAAATTAGCTTAACGTTATAACCATTTACAACGACTACACAACAACATACCTTTCACTTTCAGGTTTATTACTGGATTGCTCAATAACAGGCATCTCGGATAAGTTTCTCTCTTTTTCTCTAACAAAACAATGGCTATTCAAAATCGTCTGTAGGTTAGATTTAACCATCCGGCCAGCGTCCGCACCAGCTCCTCGCTCTGTCCGCTCCCCTTCGCCTAATGTTGGGCTGAGAGCTGGCAGGCTGCAGTATTTGTCAGGGGAGTGTCCTGTCCATCATGACGTGCTACTGTGAAAATATGACGCAGTTAATGAGCTCTATTATCATCTTTATTATCTATCTCTATTATTATTTAATTTCATTTAATGATGAGCCTGGGCTATTATACCTTGATGTAGGGCTACAACAAGTAAATGTCCTGTGTTGAGAATGTAAACGTAGGTAATTTCAGTTCAATTCAATTCAAAAAACGTTATTGTCTATCACATTATGATTATGAAAATTATTTTAGGTTTGGGGCTTACATAAAGCATAAAAACAATCACCAATGAAAGACTCACATTAAAATTAAATTTCAACACAACCAATTCCATGAATAAATTAGAGCATGTGTGCAGCCGCATTAAACATAGTGTCAGTCTGTTTGTCCTTGGGAATAAGTGGGAATAAAAGAGTTTTTAAAAATTGTCTTTTTGCCCAGAGGTGCTCTGAAGTGGCAGTGCTGATGGGAGTAGCTGAAAGGAGTGATGAAGGGGGTGTGAAGGATTTGAGTTCTGCCAGTGATTTGTGTTGCATGTTTGATGGTTCTTGTGAGTTTTCTTTGTTGCTTTTCTCTGTGAGGAAGTTGTACCATGATGCAATGTTGAATGTGAAAACTGATTCAATAAAATGGCCTGTCTGACATTAAAACCTTTCAACCTTCTCAGGAGGAATATGCGTTGTTGGGCCTTTTTGTAGCCATTTTACTTTTGTAGCTGGTGGAGGGGAAGCTAATTTCAACTACATACTGTTGGGTAGATCTTCTATTTAACAATGCGTTGTATTAGTAGTAGTAGTAGTAGTAGTAGTATACTTTATTGTCCTCGAAAGGAAATTTGTTTTGGACTGCATGGATGCTGCATGTACATAAAAATATACAATATACAAGTATAAAAAGAGGAAAGACAATTAATTTACAAATTTAAAATTAATAAGATAGACTATTATTCAACATACGTGTAGACACAGGAACAAAAGAATTTTTATACCGGTTTAGTTTGCACAGTGGAACTCTATATCTTCTGCCGGAGGGGAGCAATTCATACTGAGAGTGCAGAAAGTGAGTTTGGTCCCCCACAATTTTCTGCACCTGATTTAAAGTGCTGTTCTCAAATAACTGTTGGAGATTCAAAGATTCCTCATTTCCAACTGTTTTAAGTGCTGTCAACACCGATGTGACAATTTGGATTTTAGCTGTATAGATAGGTTCCCAAACCATACTGTAACACCATACTTAACAATACTTTCTAAAACAGCCTTGTAGAACAGCATCATAATTTTCTTATTCACCCCATAAAAACGTAATCTACGTAAAAAAAAATATATATATAAAATATATATATTTTATGTATTCTTATTCTTGTTACCGGTATTCTCAATCTGCAAATACTTTTCAAAAAAATCTTAAAACATACTTCTTTATCTTAGCATTTCCTTAACCCTCTTTTAGCTTGCTTTATCTTAAGGCTCTTTTATGCTGGCATGCATAGTAACCATTTTTTATTGTGTCTTTTCTCTCGTCTCCTACTGTCCTAATGATATTGTTGCTCATGATTTCTATATATATTTTTAATCCTTTATATTTGATTTCTATTTATTGTTATTCCTTTAATGAACCTTTTAGTTATTTACATACTCATTTATTTGTTGTATTTTTATGCTAAACTGAGTACTTACACTCTTTTTGCTGTTAAGCACTTTGCATTCAAGTACGGGAGGTGCTATATAAATAACATTTATTTTACATCCTTAATTTGCAAACCTGTAACTCTAGCTGCTCTCAAATAAAATGATAAATAATAAAATATAAAATAATTGTAAGTAATGGGGTAGTATAGTAAGTAAGTATAAACTAGCAAAACAATGAAAATACTCATGTACAGTTCAAGTATCTCAGATTTGTACAGTACAGTACATGAGTAAACACACTGGTAAAAGGTGTAAAAGAGTAGCTCTGTTTTATTCCTCTTAATAGTAAATTAGTTTCATTATTTGTATCCCAACATATATAGGCCAATACTGGAAGCACTTATAAAGGGACTGCACTTGTATAGCGCCTTTCTTGTCTTCCGACTACTCAAAGTGCTTTACACTACATGTCACATTCACCTCATTCACACATTGTTACACTGATGGTAGAGCACCAATTTGATGGCACATCAGACCTCGTCCACCAATAGCTTCACTGCTTGTAAGTATCAAAAGTATTAGTACACACTGTGAGTCATTTTCCTTTTTTCAGCAACTTCCATCTGTGCCTGTCAATCAAGGGAGCAAAGTAGCATGGTGTAGGGTGTGTATAACACTGTCTCTGGTGCCCGCAGAACAGAAATCAACACAACCACATTACTCTTCACGTCTGTGGTGAGACATAACTCAAGGGTCTAATCAGGTAAGTTTTTTTTTTTCTGTGCAGATGTTCATATACAACTTAACTCAGCTTCTTTAAATCATATTTGTCTTTTTCAGCTAGCTGCAGGTGCCTATTTTAAGCTGTGTTATGTTGGTCTATGACATACAGTCTAGCCTGAAAGACATGGCACATAGCAGCACAGGCACATATACTTTGCAAAAAAAACAACAACAATTTTCTGTTGTTTTTATGCACGAAAAAAAAATTTCATCTTAACTGACAGCTTAATTTTGGCTCCAACTTTTAACTTAAAACCTCAACCTGCAGGACTTCAGGAACCAGAGTTGGAACATCTGAAAACATCATAAGTAAGAAATATGTCTGCCAGCCGAGTGAGTTCTATGGCAACTAGTACATGCATCTTACTCGTTTGTGTCTCTACATAGTGTCTTATGACCGGATTCTGTCCATCGAAAGTTTAAGTGATGTTCCAAATCCATGGAAGGGGTTCACTATGAACCGATGCTTAGTGCTGGCCCTGGTTGTTCTGCTTGTGAGCTCAGGGGTCACTGAACTGCATGGTGAGTACTGTAATCATGTCACCTTACATACAGAAAGGAAACACGCTTGAAAGTAAATTCCTTGAGTAAGAATGACAAATAAGCTGTATGTCTAAAACAGTAAATTTGATTGGGTTTGTTTCTCCATTATTTCAGTATTATGCCTGTTTCTAACAGTACTTTCTACTTTAGTGTAATATTTTATTATTTTCACTTTCATGTGTAATGCTTAACTCTTTCTCCTCTGTTTAAGCCAACGGGCCTTCAGTGTCTTTAAAATTGTTTTGTTTTCTAGAAGCAATGGATTCTTTTGTTGAGGAGTCAGGTTTGAGGTCTTTCTACGGAAGTCTGCAGGATGGTTCAATATTTCAGGTATCGTGTGTCTCTGTTTTTCATACTTATTCAGTCATACAAATCAACAGAGGCCATTGTTTACGTCTCTGTGAGCAGTGAGAAGATACTGTTTTCCGAATGGTGAGATTGTTTTATTTGAGCACATTTGCAGGATGTGAATGGACTCATTTGCAGTCCTGCTGCTGCCCTAGTCACTCTTAGGCTAATATCGTGTTGTAGAATCTTTTTCTCATCAAGCTCAAGGAGATTTGGAGAAAGTCTTGTCAAAATATGGAAATTAAGAGATAAGTATACATATTTTTGACTGAGAATTTACAAATGCACACTTACTACCCGCTCTATACAAGGATGAGCACTAACGCCACACTCACCCTCATTTCTTTTGTCATTTCACTAGGTTAAGTCAACCAGGGTACTGCACATTTTAATTCACTTACCTTCATGAGCGTGACAGATTTTAGATATGGTTATGCAAGATTAGCGCTAGGCTAATTAGTGCAATGCATTACCAATGCACATTCAGCGTTGGTAAAGATATATTTCCCTACATGTGTGCAGAGCTTGTACTTGATCCTATGGACTTGGGGAGGGACATGGAAGCTGGATGCTCAACATGGGGCGGCTGTGGCTCAGGAGGTAGAGCGCGGTTGCCCATTAATTGGAAGGTTAATGGCGGTTCAATCCCCGGCTCCTCCAGGCTGCATGTTGAAGTGTCATTGAGCAAGAGACTAAACCCCGAATTGCCCCTGGCGGCTGTTCCGCCACTGTATGAATGTGTCCGAATGTTAGTTTCTGTTTGAGCACTTAGGTTCAGTGTATGAATGTGTGTGTGGATGCAGATGTAGTGTAAAAGCGCTAGAAAGAAATTAGAAAGGCGCTATACAGAGCATTTACATCATTGGGGGCAAGAGTCAGACAGGGACGCTGAAAGATGCCAGGGGTCACAGATATTTGTTGTCTCATTCAGAGCTATTGATGAGCTGTTTTCAGGGGCCCCAAAATTTCTAGCAGTGCCTGATTACCGATTTAGCATCCTAAATACACTGTAATGTGTGAAAAGATAACAATGCATTACAAGTATGACTTCATTGCACCATATTACTACAATATGTCATATTTTACAAGGTCAAAGGTGATAATAATTATCAATCAATTTTCTTTGAAGGTTTATAGAGTCTTAAATCCACCAAGGTGCTTTCTGGGATCCTGACAGCATCTGTCTCTAGATGACGTCATCACCACCATCTGTCTCTCTGTTGTTCGTCCAAAGTGAACAAATTCATAAATTAAACTATAAAATAATTTTTTAAAGGATTTCCTTTACGTACAACTAAGCAATACTGAAAAATCACAAAATGTACAATCTAATCCTTGAAGTGACCGTATAATTTATAAAGATATTTTCATCTTTTCTGTATTTATGTGGTTGTGTAATAAGTGGTTTTTGAACCAGACTGTGTTGTTTGTTCCCTGCTGTCTGCCTCCAGATTTCCATATGGGACAGTTTCATGTGGTGGTGGCGATCTGAAGAAGTTGGAGCGATACGAAGAAGAAAAAAGCCTATTGGCAACAAAGCAATCCTGAAACCCAAACCTAAACAATGATTTGTGTGCGGCTGTTTAAAGAAAAGTGAAGAGTCAACAAATGGATGTCATCAACCATCACAGACACACAGTCTTCAATATACTTTGCATTTAATAATATAAAGATACAGAACATTACATTAATCAATTTTTGTTTGTATTGAAAAGAACACAATTTAATTAGTTTGGCAGGACATTCAACTTTATGATACATATTTTAAATCACTCCATAAAATCTCCCTTTTAGTATCACTAATTTAGAAATGTCACCACCACATTGTAATATAATCATCATCAACAACTTGATAGTTTTACAACAGTATTTTCAGTGATTATTGGAATTTTAATTAAAACCACAAAAAGTGGTCTTATGAATGATAAGATGTTTGATGATGATAATACTATATTTGGCTTACATGAAGACAAAGACCCACCCTCGAACACAATCGTTTTTGGTTTCAATACATTTGATTATTTGTAAGTGTGAGAAACACTGTGCTGTGTGCATCTACTGCAAATATTGTCTATATATGTGAAAGTATGTAGCATAAAGACACTTCTGTGAAATAATGTGCATTTACTCCCAGTGTATTAATACTGTGTGAATAAATAAATGACAGTATCGTAACATTTAAGTGATATGTTTCTAACTATGGTCAGTGACTGTTAAACCAAAGATGTAAAATATCTTTTGTGTCACAAGTACACTCCAAGAAGAAAACAGCTTTAGCGGCATCCACACTCCTTCGCTACCATATCTGGTTTAATGGAGAGGCTAGTCCCATGTTCATGCCAGTCCACCACCTCCAGGGCTTCATATGCCACAGGCACACAACACGGCGCCCGCTCGTCCACATTCTCACTCTCGATGTGGGAGTTGAGCAGGACGGCATGGTTGTTGGCATTGACCAGGGGGAAAGCACAAGAGCCATGGCAATTATTGATGTTGGCAGAGTTTGGACCCATGAGACGTCTTTCAAGGGACACAGTGAGGCTCCTCAGGCCACATATGTTGCCCCTCACTGGGTTGTTGGGGCCAGCTCTGGTAGCCCGCAGTCCTCTCTGCACCTCATACGTTCGGGCCACTGTCTTCAGGGCCTTCAGCAGAAGAAATGCACGGTACTGGCTGTCTCCTGTTCAATGCAGAAGAGGGAACAGAAGCATCAGTTAAAAAGTGGTAATAAGGGATACCTGATACCAAAGAAATCTAAAGTGGTATACAGTGTTATGATTAAGAGTACAAGAAGACTATTTAGATTTTATAATATTATTAATATTACTTAAAATAATGCATAATTATTTGAAATAGTTAGCTAAATGTAACTTGAAATACCTAAAAGCAACAGATAAACAATTGAAATAGTTAGCTAAAAGTTGTTAATGGTATCTTAAACAGTTGAAATAGGTAGCTTATGTTAAAAGTAATACATGATTGAAATTACATAAGGAAGTGGATAAACAGTTAAAATAGCTTAATGTAACTTGAAATAGCTAAAAGCAATGGATAAATAACGGAAATAGTTAGCTAAATGTAGCTAATGGATAAACAGTCAAAATACATGGCTAAAAGTAATGGGTAAACAATTGAAATAGTTAGCTAAAAGTTGCTAATGGTAACTTAAACAGTTGAAATAAGTAGCTAACGTGGTTAAATGGTTAGAACAAACAATGGACAAATGGTTCGTCTTCTGTTGCTCAAAGTGGCAACTTAGTACTTTCAATGCAAACTTAAACCGGCCAAAGCACTGACAGACCAATTGCATGAAAAAGTGTGTGTGTGTGTGTGTGTGTGTGTGCCAGATATATATATATACATATATATGGAACATGACTTAAGGGGGTACTGGAGTTGTATGGTATGAGAGGGTTGTAGGGGTGTGTCTGGGAAGAACTGCTTCTTGTACACATCACCTGCTGCTGGTTCCTTCGCTGGCAAAGCACTAAGTTCTTTGAGCCTCCCCAGCCTCTCCGTGGCTCTATGACCGACCTCCTCCTCCCTTATTACCTCCATTATCTGCATCACAGTCTGCTCCAACATCTGCCTGAGCTCCTCCAACAGTGCAGGAGACAGGGCCAACTCTCCATGCACCTGAAACATGGAGCACCAGTTGGAGAAGGAGAAGAAGGTGGGGGCCGAGGAGTTCATTAGTCCTGCCAGCAGGGCCTCGCTGGAGGATAAGCCTAGTGTCAGTGGAGGCAGGGACTGTAAGGAGTCCAGCCTGACAGGAGAGGACTCGGGCTGGTCCTGAGGCTGGACATCACCCAAGAACCGCTTCAGCTCACAGAGGAAGGAGGAGGTCTGTGACGAGGCTGGGGAGGAACCTGAAACATGTGTATATCTGGGAAAGAGAGTCAAAAATGTTAGAGCACGACTAACTATAGTTGGTAAAATAAGCAGGGAACGTGAAAGCTAAGAAAACCTTGTATCAGTTCCTGTTTCCCCAGAGAAAAGCAGAAGTGGACTCATGGTGAAGTTACTTCCTGATTTTCCACCAATAAGGATGTCTTTCAGGCTTTGTTCTGCAAAGAGAGGAACTGTGAGGAGAGTGCACATGAAACAAGAAATCATGTCTTATGCGTATTGTATCTTACTCATCTCAGGGGATTTTGTCTCAACAGAAATCCTCCATTTCTGGTGAACATCTGATGCTTTTCCTGTCAGCATTATGTACTGTGTTTCTCCTGAAATGCACACAGACTAGAAAGCACAATAAATATATCTATGACAATAATCACATTCAGCAGATTTCCAGTGGAAACTCGGGACAGGTTTTCATTCATGCATTATTCACACCAGGCCTTTTTATACCTGTGTGTTAGGATGCAGTGACTGACTAGTGAAAGTGACGTCCAGGTTTCTTCCTGTGAGGGGACTTTCAAACGCCAAGAGCAGCACAGGGTTCAGCTTGAGCAAAGGTGACTGTGGGAGGTCAAAGGTGAACTTAAGCGCTCCTCTCTTGTCTTCCTCTGCCAGGAGCACTGATATAACATACACAACATGCCATAAGATGGGGGGAAAAAAACATTAAAACAAAAACTATTGCAATCTGAGAGCACTGTTACCTCCAGCTGGTTGCAAAACCTCCAATCCATTTATCTGGTTTCTGTTTGTTTCCTTAGCAAGATCTAATAAGGCCGAGCCTGATGAATTTTCAGATACTGTGCAGATTCCAAACAGGGCCAAACTGAAGTTTGTGAGTTCACCGTCGTTCCCCACATCACGCAATGCTGCGAATATGTCATGCACAAAGCACAGTGCATGGTGAGGGATGTGTTGAGAAACGGTGGAGGCTGATGAGGTCTCTGTTGATGGCTCTGCATTTTTTATTTCCAAACCATCTGTGGTCTCTGTGTGGTGGACTCCTTTGATTGAATTGGAAAAAGAACAAATTACATTACACACAGAAAAAAAACAGGAAAGCTAGGAGGGGGAACTACATGCAAACAATCCAATTTTAGCTCAAAACACAGTAATTGACAGCAACATCAAATGTAGAGGCATTGCATGAAGATTAATGCACAACTGTTGTAGCTGGTTTAAATTGAGCTAAATCTGACCTGTTATTGTGGGGCCGTGGGCCGGGATAAGTGGCCGTCCATGTGAGACCTGCAGGGCCACACAAAGCCTGGTCCAGCACAGCATCAACGCTCCATAGTAGAAGACATTCAAAACCAACATACTGCACTGTCTGTGTGCCTGTGTGGTCAGACCCCTTCACTATCGCTTGTTTTGAATGGGTCAAACTCATGAGGGTGGGAGTTATATCCTCCCACATTCCCTTCTCACTAACTGGGGATGAGCCTGCCAAAGTAGGAATATCACGTGTCCTTGATGATTTAGACTGTAGATTATATTTGAGATGTCTGCTGCACATGTAGGTGCTTTATTCACCTTCAGAAGGCAGTTTTGTTGGTTTGGATACACACTGAACCCCCCTGTCTGACTCTGATTACTGGAGGTAAATCCTTCGCTGTCTAAAACACATGATTCCTCAAGCTGTAAAGTGAGAGGTGTTGTTTTAATCCTTCAAGGTTGTAAAGGTGGATTAAAGGAATAATTTGACATTTTGGGAAATACACTTATTCGCTTTTGAGAGTTAACTCAGATGACAAGATCGATACCACACTCATGCCTGCACGTGTATACTGAACAAAATTATAAACGCAACACTTTTGTATTGTTCACAAATCTGTCAAAATCTGTGTTAGTGAGCACTTCTCCTTTGCCGAGATAATCCATCCACCTCACAGGTGTGGCATATCAAGATGCTGATCAGACAGCATGGGTATTGCACAGGTGTGTCTTAGGCTGTCCACAATAAAAGGCCACTCGAAAATGTGCAGTTCCATCACACAGCACAATGTCACAGATGTTGCAAGTTTTGAGGGAGCGTGCAATAGGGATGCTGACTGCAGGAATGTCAACCAGAGCTTTTGCCCGTGAATTGAATGTTCATTTCTCTACCAAAGCCGTCTCTAAAGGCGTTTCAGAGGATTTGGCAGTACATCCAACCGGCCTCACAATGGATTTGAATGGAATTATCTCGGCAAAGGAGAAGTGCTCACTAACAGATTTGTGAACAATATTTGAGAGAAATAGGCCTTTTGTGTACATGGAGAAAGTCTTAGATCATTGAGTTCAGCTCATGATGAATGGGGGCAAAAACAGTTCAGTGTATTTGTGGCACAGATATGACAGTTGTATCAATCTTCTCATCTAACTCTTGAGAAGCAAAATATTCAATCAAGCTCTCACAGTAATGAGTCAGCCTTTTATGAAATGATTCCTTTGAACTGCTCTTTGTTGTGAGAAAAGATTTAAATTTTTTAGATTTAGTTCATGGCAGGCATTCTTGTTAGTTTGTTCCAGTTCATTGCTGACTTGTTCTTGGTCAGACTGTGACTCAAACAATACAAAATCATTCAGAGCATTTGATCCTAACGAATGTGAACAATGTTATCTGCTTTCATTCATGTTAGAAGGGGAAAAACAGTGAATAAAGTCCTGCTCTCAGAAACCCGAAATCTGATTCCTTTCAAAGAGCCGCTGTACTCCCATCACTTTTCTCACAGCTGCAGTCTTGTTTTGTAGACAGTCAAGGTCTCGGAGCTGTTTAGTAGCATTGTATCCCAAGAGATAAAGCCGAGGCTCATTCTTGTACATCACAAATCTTCAGTGAGGAATGACAAGAACTGTTTGTTATTCTCTAATGGCTGCTACATGTTATCAACATCAGAACATTTTTTGGCAGATAACACAACATCCCAAAATCTTGCAGACAACCACGTGAGGTGATTTCTTTATGTCTAAACTGTGGGAATCAGGGCCTGTATTCAACATTTAAATGAAAACATACATCTTTAATCTGGTGTAACTACATATTTCTACTCTGAGAATTTAGTAAAGAACTTTGGAAGTGTCTATCACTATCTAATAATACTATATAACTACCAGGAGCCAGTGTCTTTTGAATGTGTTATTTTCATGTGGGTCCAGGTGAAAAGCTTCACTATACAGACTCGTTGAGACCTTACAGGCATTTTGGCACAAAAACAAGTGCATACCTCTCTAAATTGTGGTACTTGGAGCGCTGGCTATTTGTGAAAGGTAAAAATGCAACAGCACCACATGAAAAACAATTTTCAAATGTTCATTTCAATTAAGCTTGATAAGAACAAAAGGTGACCGAGCATTTGCTGTCAGAGCCCCAAGGCTCTGGAGGCTGGCAGGGTCGGCTTCTTCCTTCAAATCTCTTTTAAAAACTCACTTTTACCGGAAAGCATATCCAGATTTTATCTGAGCTGCCACTCGTTTTACTATTCCTGCCCTATCGTTCTTATCACTTTGTTTCCTTGTCTCATCTTCCATATGTCCTACTGAACATATTTGTTATACTCTGTGATCTTTGTTCTTATATTCTGTATTTTACCCCCCTGTATCTTATTACCCACATGGTTATTTGTTTTTGCATTTTAAGTGTGATTTGTTGTGAAGCACTTTGTACTCTGTTTGATAAGTGCTATATAAATAAAGCTTATTATTATTATAAATACAGTTGGCTCATTATGATAACCATGCAAAATGTTATTTTTAGCACTGGCCTTTTATTTTACTAGTTCATTTCAAAATAAGACAACACATATTTGGTCAAAGTTATGCAGCATAAACTTTAGCATGATCTACTAGTCTTCCCTGAGGGAAAACAGAATACAATCAGATACAAACACCACTACACACAATAAAATTAATTCAAATATTATGAAACTTTTTTTTATTAATAATCATAAAACGCAGAAAAAAAAACATTAATTCCATTTGTTTCATTATAACATCTTAGGATAAAAGCACCAACATCAAACAGTGACAATTTCTATCATGAAAACCCAGGGCCTTTTGGAAAGTAGGTTTGCCGTTATTGCACCTCAAACCTGCCCTGGCTTCACCGACCAGAGATCACTATACACTTGCTGTAGGTCACGTGTGTCCAGTGTCAGTTTACCTCCCAGATAATGGGAAGAACCCCCAACAAAGGACAGCGGACCTCCTTCTTAGAGACTCAATTCTAGACAGAGGCAATTGTGAGATGAGGAAGATGCTGAAGGTGTAGCCATTTCACAGCTTCTCGAGATCAGACCGACTCATAAAGCTTTATAAAGCTGGATTTCACTGGAGAGGCTGGATGTATGTGGCAGCGAGAATGAATCTGAGGAGACCTGACAAGACGGCTGGCAAATTTTACCTGGAAATATGCTTAACTGAGAGGTTGTCCTGGTCCTGAGTTGGGTTAGAGAGGGACTTCATCATGCCACAGGATGGTGAATAGGTTTGTGACATGTAGTAGTTTAAGCAGAATTGTTTACATCATTTCAAGCAATCTGGGAAGTTCCTGAGTTTAGACCTTTGGCAGGATTTAGAGTAAACAGCCTCGACTGCAAAGCTCTCACAGATTAACAATAATGCACCAGGATGGGAGCCTGCTGGAGAACTGCATAGAAACGTTAATTCAAATCATGCGCACACACCAAAGGACTTGAATAACAGCACCTCACCCCATTGACTGATTGTACGAGTAGCTACAAAACTGGTTTAAAATATGTAATGAATATAACTTTTGCCATTCTCACAAACCATTCCCACTTACACATACACCACACCGCCCCTCCAGGTTAGAGAAACATCCGTATGTTAGATTGGACCATGAGAAAGCCGCCAGGCAAGCTCGTGTTGAAGATTATTAAACCATAAAACCCTGCAGCACAACAGGAGAAGAGTAGTATTTATCAATAGCTGCAATTTCCTTGTTTTAAGTGAAGGAGAGCACCGTGCTGTCTGTCTGACTAGTAGTATTAAAAACTGACAAGAATCTGAAGACAATTAAAAGCATAACATGTAACTGCAATTGTATCAAACACCAAGAATAAGAAAATCAAAACAGCATCAACAATAGTTACAAAAGACCTCTCAGTGCTGGTAACAAATGGACTACAGTCTCTAATTATGTCCTAAAATGACTTTCTTCTTCTCACTTAAACACTCTCAGGTGAGAAACACATTTGTGTTTGCAGAGTGAGTGCACAGGACAGGAGTTTACAATAAAGCTTCGATTATTAGTCTACTCTTCCCTTAGATATGCGCTGGCAAGTGGAGGAAAAAAGCGTGCGCGCGCACACACACACACAAACTGAGCTTAAGTGTAGTCCCACTATCAGGAAAAAGGGAAGCTTGGCTGCTCGCACTCCCAACCAAGTGATGAGCGTACATACCCTAACACAAGTGTTTTACATCAGCATGTCTTTGCAATTACACAATATGCTCACATTTCAAGGCATGGCCTTGACAAAGACATGTAAGACATCTAAAGACAGACAGTGTGTGTAAGAGGTTGACACGTAGTTTTCTATGCACCAGTAAAGTTTGTAAAATCTAAATTGCCATTGTTTGGAAACAGAAGCACCATTTTTCCTGCAGAATCTGGGTTGGTAAAACAAAAAAAAAAAAAAAAAAAAAAGAAGGAAAAACAAAGATGTGAAAACATCTGATAAAAGTGATGACAGTTCTAGTGCTGGAATCTAGTTGTGTTCAAGCCACAGCACCTTTGTTTGTCTGCGTTAAATACACACTGCTTTTGAGTTTCTAGTTCTGTGGTGTGTGTATATCACAGGGATTCAGGTGCTGTTGTGCCACCATGTTGTTAGGCACCATATGTTAAGATCCTGTGGTGGCGATGCTCGACACTCCTTGGCTTCAAGCCTCCTGTTTGACAGGCTGAGTTTAAGGTCACAATGCCAGCACCAAAACACCCTTACTCACATATATATATAGATATATATATATACTCATATATAGACTGTTTATAGATACATATTTATATACCTTTCTGTTTATGATGAAGAGACATGTACAAGGAAAACAAAGAGTTATGTACAAAAACAGTGTGTCTTGTTCACTAACAGATAAGCAGCTCGCTTTTGAGAGCAAAGCGGGCTGACTTGTTTAAACTGTGGCGTGAGAAACATGAACAGGTCCTCATACCTGTTTACTCAGACTCTGAGCCAGCTGTTGCAGAGTAGTTTTATCTGCAGGTGGTGTCTACAGTTGCACACTAGGCATTCAAAGGACCAGACGATAGCATATTAAATATGAGAAAAGAAATGCCAAGAAAAGGCTTTACAAATGTCCCTGTGTACAGCACCAAGTATTGGATTTGTTTTTGATGTTTTCACTATAGAATAAATAAGATCAGGTACAGTCCAAATGTAGCACCATTGTTTTCAGACTGAGTCAAGTACACACACTATTGCATTCTACGATGTCAACACATTTCAGGATTTAAAAGAAATACAAATACCAAGGCAAACAGAGAGACTGACAGCATAAATATAATAATCTAAATTATACACATCTATACAGTCGGAGAATGAATCACATTCACAGTACAAACATTGTTTACAAAAAACCACAATCAAATAAGCAAACAAAAAGGTGTGAAGACAGTCCAGTAGTTTGTTGTTGTTGTTACGGGTGTTTTCTCAGTGTGTGAGGATTTGCATGCACGTGTGTGTACGTGTGCGTGTTTGCATGACTGAAGTCCACATACATGTGAGTCCTAAACATTTGCTTAAACCTGTATTTCCCAACAGCAGAGATAAATATGAATATTTTTAGCTTAAGAAGAGTTAAAAATTCCTGCTTTAAGAATATTTCTGCTGCGGTCCCACATAGTAGTGTGATTTACCAAATTGACTGAAGAAGAAAATGTTAATAAATACAGAAATTGGCTGATTCTTCTGTGGTTTCACTGGAATTCTTTTACACCTGGATTCAGCTTCACTAAACATTAACAGAGTGGCCACAACTCTTTGACAACAATGGGCGGCTGACTTTGTCTACATCTCATTAAAGGAAATTCATGGGGAAAGTGTACTCTGCTCTGCATTATTGGCACCCCTTGAAATGTTGCTAAATCACAGTATTGTCAAAATGAGGCTGAAATCAGAACACTGTTGTGTGTTCAGACTTCAAGTCACTGATAATCTTCCATATTCTTCAGTAAATTGGTTTATAGAATGTTAAATATTCCTGATTACTGTCACAAAATACCAAAAAGCTCCTTTTAGAAGTAAATCAACTTTCACTGATATGTTAAATAGCTGATATCAGAAGAGAAACACTGAACCACACCTGAAGAACAATTTTAATCACGTGAACTTAATTAATTTTGCTCCAGTTAGTGGCAAAGACAGAAAAAATTAGTTTTGTGTGCCAAAACGGGCAGCCCGAACATAATTATACAATTTTTGTACCACTTTACTTTTATGTAAAGGGACTTAACAGTAAGAAACCCACATTTTTAACTTTTTTTAAATATGAAAATGTTATAAATCATTTAACATAATCAAGAGTTTAAGGGGTGTCAACAAACCAGCCAGGACCTGTACATCTTCTGCTACATGAGTAACTGTATCTTACGGTCCAGTGTGCAGTTTGACCAAAAGTTCCTCATTCTGCAAGAAAAACTGAATTTCACTGAAGGAAGAAAACAGAGACAAGAAAGCACGCATGCAGAGAGGCAAAACTGCATGACATCTGAGCAGAGTTCGGTGAAACTGGTCTGTGTGTGTGTGTGTGTTGAGCCCATGCACTCATATGAAGTGAAACTTTCGACATGACACATGAGATTCAGCTCAAAAAAGGTGGGCTGTGTGCTTCCATCTGTTGTTAAATGTTACATTAAATCATTGAAAACCGATCATTTTGCCGAACACCAGTTGCTAAAATAGTGACTATGACATAAAATGACACACTATCATACTACTGAGCACCTTAATGTTAAACCAGGTATCTTAATTAGTTCATTCAGCGCTGGGCAGCAGCCAGTACAAATATCCATGTAGGAAAACATTCAACACCCCACACATAAACACGACCAGTCCCTATGAATTCTGCTCAATGTGACCATAGTGGTGGTTTGTGTGTGCGTGTGTGCGTGCGTGCGTCTATGTGTGAGTGTGTATGTGTGATCCCAGTACAGAAGCCGTTCTTGGAGGCGGTTGGGTAGTGCAGACATTTTGAAGCACCAGAGAGTGAGGAGAGTGCCTTCATCCACACCTGGACATTTGCATAGTTTATTTTATGTTGAGGTAGTTTTAGTCAATTACCTGAAACGCCAAAGAAGACAGAAAAAGACATCATGAGTGAGTGTATGGCTGACAGATTCTACACAGCAATGAACAAATGAGTGAAAACACTATTAAATCCTGTGGCTTTCACAATCCAGCACAGTTTGTATACTTTAAATCTATCACCAAAGAATCGACTTACCTTGTTCAATCAGAACAACAGCTTGTGGGAGCACAGGAAAAACAGGACTCCTGTTTTGTTTGTCCTCCCTACCAGTCTTTCACTCTCATTCTCTCCCTCTTTCCACTCTCTGCCCTTCCCCTCTCCATCCTTCCCCCTTTTCCCTAACCCCCTCCCCCCAAACCCTATCTAGGTCGGGAGCCAGGGAGCTGGGAGCTGGTGTAGGTACCGTGCATGCTCTGAGTCCTCCACATGCTCCCGCCACCACCTGAGCTGCTGGCCGGTGGTGGAGGGGGCAGCCGAGGGGAGTAGTGCACTGCGAATGGACGCGAGGACGAGGAGGAAGTTGACAGAGAGGAAGAGGAGAGGGAAGCAGTGGCGGCGACAGCAGAGACAGAAGCAGAGGCAGTGGAGGAGATGGAGAGAGAGAGGGATGACTGTGCTCTCTGGTGGTGGAGGGAGGAGTGGGAGAGACGGGAGGAGTGGAGGGAATCTGATCGAGAGGAAGGCGGGGCGTCGGAGTGCGCGGGTGCCGAGGATGAGGGGATGCTGTGCAGGGGCGGAGGAGGGGGCAGGGAGAGCATGGGAGGAGAGGGGCTGTGCAGGACCGACTGGATGCGGCTGTGCTGGGCCTGGGAGAGGGAGAGGGGGAGAGGTGAGGACACGGAGGCCAGGCGCGTGGAGGCTTGTTGGGGAGTGGTGTGCTGCTGCGTTTGGGAGGAGGTGGAGGAAGAGGAGGAGAGACTGAGCAGAGAGCTGAGGCCTCCAGAGGTGGGCAGCGTCGCCCCAAACTGATGGGAGGACACTGTGGGAACCACGTGGTGAAATATACCTGCAAATCATACAGCAGAAATGAAGGGAGGGGGAGGGCGAGAGAGTGGAGACAGAGGGAAGAGGGAGCAGATAAAAGTGGCGAAGAGAGCGAGAAAGAGGGGGACAAAGAGAGAAGCAGGGGCTGAGCCAGGTTGTGAATAGCGCCAAGCGACTCTTCGACAAGCACACAGAAAGCAAACAGAGTCAGTCCACTGTGACTGTTATTAACCAAATCAAATGGCCAATTTAAGATCGGGAACATAAAACATACTTATTTTAGCTGAATTGATTTCTGGGTTGATTTCTGCTTCCAAGTGAAATGACTCTGACGTACAGATACACCCACAGAAAATGACAATGTAGTGATGTAATAGTTACATAAAACACGTTATTAATTCAGGGTCAATCACAGATTTGAAGACAAATCAATGGTTCCAATTTTTCTATTTTCAACATTTTTGTTATGCTTTCATTCTGCTAAAACGCAGCATTTTCCAAGGGTGTTTCCAACTGCAGCACTCAAGCAGCCAGACCACATCAAAGCGAGGCAGTGAGGCAGACAGAAAGACAGCAGCGTTGGACCTCCACTTACCTGGCTCTATTAGCAGGCCAATTCCCTCGGACTATTCCTCACTAGCTAAGACTATGACCCCGCTCTTGACCAACGATACTGAGGTTAAACTTTACATGATCAGTTAAGTCACTATTGTTTCTCACCTCCAGCCGCTCCCCCTGCCAGCCCAGCAGTGGAGAAGCTTCCCAGGGCAGAGTGTCCGTTGACGAGCCGCGGGGTCCCACTCACCGTAGATCCGCCTGTCTGGGCCCCAAACAAGGTCTGTAAGACTGAGGCCCCTCCGAGTGGGAACTGAGACCCCAGGTACTGGCCCACAGATGATCCCGTGGTCGAGGAAACTGCTACAGGACTGCCTCCCACCTTCCCACTCAGGATACCCCCTCCACTGCTGGCAGCAGCAGATATGAAGAGGTTCTGACTGGCCAAGCTGCTGCTGGTCTTCAGCTCCCAGTCACGAGGGGCCTTCTGCTTCTGGAGGGCCTGGCGTTGGTCTGAACCACAGCCTCCCTGGACACCTCCACCACCACCGCTGCTTCCACCCCGGGGCCCTGCCTCCTGACTGAGGAAGGGTTTGGGGTTCATGTAGTTGGACGACTCTCCATCACTCCCTCTCCTCACCTGCTGATGCTGCTGTTTGTGGTCAGAATCTGAGTCTGTACCCCGGCCTGAACCCCCCATGCCGAATGGAGAGCCCCCCTGTCTCAGGTCAGAGTTGGGTTGCTTGGGGTCAGAAATGGGCGAAAAGGTGGCTTTCCACTTGCTGGTAGATGACAAGGAGGATGAAGAGGATGCTTCACTACCTGTGCTGTTACCACTGCTGCTACCAGATTTCCTGCCTAGTAAAAAACAAACAATAAAAACAACAGAGATTAAGCAGCTAAAGTGCAAAATTAAGTTTTTATTTTAACAAGTGACATTTTCTTTTCTTACCTCTTTCACTATCCCCTAGTCTACCAGGTCCGTTTCTGCTCTCCAGGGATATCGTAGCTATTTTCCTTTCAATTCTAGAGAAAAAGAACAATTAACAAAGAAACTAAAGAAAAACAACAAATAATAACCACACAAACACAGCTGTACATGTGGCTCAGAAATGTGTGCCTGTCCTGTGAAATCTGCAACAGAACTGAGGCAATCAAAAGGCATGGTGTCATATTTTAGAATTAAAATAGAATAGAAAACAAGGAAAATACTATACTTATTTTATATACTTATAATTTGTTAGTAAGCCCTGCAGCTGTAGTGAAGACCAAATAGGAGCTCAGCAGGTACTCTGTTGTTACTCTCATCTTCATATTACAATGACTATATTACCGTGAACTGGAGCTGTCGGCAGGGTATCCTGAATCCTCATCATCAGAGCTGGGGGCTGAGGAGTAACGGCCTGTGCCATTGAGCTCCAGGGGGCGCTCTCTCTTTAAGATGGGAGGCTGGTCCAGGTCCGGCACAGTGGGGCTCCGACTAGATTGCTCTGGGGAAGATATGGCAGAGATCTCCAGAGGCTGGTTGATGTTGTTCACCTGTTTGGGACAAGGAGACATGCAAATGACACCCAGATGAGACCAGGTAATAAAAGCAGGTCTTGTGATGTCCCCGTAAGGTCTAATAATTCAAATACTGTACATGGCCAAGGACTTAAAACTCTGGTGACACCTCTTCCTTTTTAAAACATGTTGCTTCAGATCATTGGTAGCATCAATCTAATATTCAATGATAGTCCAATGATAAACATGCTGGATATTTTTACAAGTTGCACGACCTAATTAAATCACATTAAATAAATAAAAAAATGGAACCTTAAAAATCAATATGATATATGAGGTCCTGTCAGTTTTCTCTCTTCCTTGTTTTTACTGACTCACCATGGAGTTAATGTTGAGTGGTGAACCCGAGGAGTGGTTGTTGGAGCTGAGCCCGGGGAATGACCTCCTCTTTGGGGAACTGCTGGCCGTGACAGCCACTGCAGAGCTGCGTTTCCTTCTCCCCCTCTTACGTCCCTCTTGAGCGCCGAGGCTGTGAGACGAGTGTGATGACGACGTATGCGTGGGTGTGTGAGTGTGCTGTGTGCCGGGGGACAGGTGGTGGTGGTTTCCATGGTTACTGTGGTACCCCTGCTTGGCTGAGTTGCCGGTGTGATGGTGGAGGCGTGATCCTCCGGCCGCGCTGCCTCCACTGCCTGACGAAGAGGAAGACGAGGACGAAGAGGAGGAAGAAGAGAAAAAGATTCTCCTCCGTAGTTCAGTGTCCTGGGGCTCCATGTCGGATTCACCGCCCTGGTTATCCTGTCCATCTTCTGGAAGAATCCGCGGGGGGCCATCTGCATACTGGAGCACCCCTCCAGTGCTGAGTGGGGGGCTCTGGATGGGACCTCCTCGGCCCATTGGTCCCATCAAAGGTGTGTTGGTGTGTGGAGGGGGTGATGAAGAAGCACCATTATGGTCCTCAGGATGGGGACCTCCATTCATCAGCCCTGAGCTGGATGAATATCCTAAAGAGAGACAGTTAATGGTTAAGGGTGCACAGGAAGAGCAGACAGTCAAGTATCAAATTAAACAACATTATTAATGCACTTTATTAGTCATAAATAAGCCACAGAGCATTCAGTGGAAACCTCTTACAGAGATCATGTCTGTCCGGGTCAAATTGATCCCTATAAGCATCTAATTGACATGTGTATATTTATTACATGAATATAAAGTAATGAAACAGTCAGTTTCGCTATTTACTGATGTGTATTGACTCTTTCAAAATACAGTACAGCCGTTTCAAACGCTTTTCAAATTAGTGTACTGTGCACAATTTAAATACACTATACGGTTATACAGTACTGTATATGGTTTACTGCTGTTTACAAACACAGTAATATCAGTAGTGCAAATAGGCTACTAAGCCACAGCTTGGCAGTGGTTTCTGTGCATTTCAAAATTTGGAACAAGCCTGAAAATAAACTGTAGGCTGTCAATGCCGAACGAGTTTGAAAACAAACGTATTCATAAAATAAAAAAAACAAATTCTCAACAATCACATCAAAAAAACAAAAAAAGAGGCTACCTCTGTTTTGTGTGTCAGCTCTGCAATGCCTGGAAAAGTCATTTCACAAACTTGTCCATTGATGCCTGGATCATGGTTCTGTCCAAAATCAAGTTCACTTTTTTTGCAAAGTACAAAGGTCAAAGTTATTGAAACCGACAGCAGATGAGTCTTTGAAGTGCAGATTGCATTCCTCATCTTTGCCCGGGACGGCACTCCTCTTCTTCCTCCTCTTCCTCCTCCTCATTGCCGGCAAAGCGCTCTCTCACCTCCGGGATGCTGTCCTCATCAGTAACAGGCCTCGATACAGGGGTGCTGTCATTAGTTGCAATCCACTGCTCAAACTCTTTGGTGCTGATCTTGGCAAGTGTATCAAGAGTTTCCAGTTCCTCCTCTGGAGACATGACCAGATCTCCTTTCCTCAAGCAATTTCTTATTATTGAGGCCCGCACATCAGCCCATGTCTCCCAAAGCATGAAAATAGCATCTCCACAAGAAAGATTAGGTCTTCATGTCATTCATCGTGTGTCACTGTGCGAGCCTCAGCATCCTCCCCGTGCAATTACTTAAAGACAATGTTCTCTCTCTTTCTAAATCGCTCAAACCAGCCTACGGAAACTTTGAAACTGTCCTCTCCGAGGCTCACTGCCAATTCTTCTACCTTTCTCCTCACTAAAAGGCCCACTCAAGGGGGCATTATGTGACTGGGTGTAATCGTTCCACTTGACAGCCATAGATGTTTCCCCTGTGCAAATTCGTTTTTGGTCTCCATCACTATGACTGTTTCTTGTTGTTTGAATAGACTACACAAGGTAGCGTGAGGAACACCAAGTTTAGCTGCCATTTTTTAACTTAGAGAAAATAACTTTTTTTTCCACCCATCATGATTTCTATGTGCACACAGCACCAACCTCAGGTAGCCAGCCGGAAGCAGGCGAGTTACCGTGAGACAAAGTATCATGGGAGTAAAGTTAAAAATAAATCAAAAATAAAATCAACGTTTAAATTTTATCAAGTATATGAAACAACCAAAATTAACACTGTAAGCAGACTACTTGATTACTATAAGCAAAATATTTAAAGCAGCATTTGCATAGGAATGATTCTGTCCCAAGCTTTTTAATCCACATGTACCGTAATCACTATAAGTGGTTTCCACTGTTAACAGTGAATAGAATATGTGAACAAGTGGTTGACGGGTAATCCTTACCATTGGTCTGACCTGCCTGAGACACAGGACTCGGAGTACTTCTCTGAAATTATGAACACAGAGAATATTTCACAATGTAAAGTCCAGAAAAAACAATATGAAAAATCACAAAATGTTTAAACTTTAAATCTATAATTATCCAGGTGAAACTAAAACTTAACAACTCTAAACTGTGCATCTTACATACTAATCTAAGTCTTCGCAAGTGAACATTTCATTTATTACATCCAGAGCAGGCTGTTAATGCAGTTAGTGTAATGTAGGTAGTGTCATGAATGTGCTCACCAGTCTCTCGGCACGACTGGGCAGCACCACGCTGGCCAGAGGAATGCTGACTGGTAGTTTGCTTGGGTGGACAGTGCTCAGAGGGATACTTATTGGAAGGCTCGTAATGCTGTTGTCACCCTGAACAGATGGGCTCCTCTCCTTACCACCCTATGAGAGAGAGCAAAGAGTGTGCCGAATACTGCAAGGAAGGTAGAAAGCTGTATGCTTCTAGACAGATCAACAGTGCAAGCGCAGAGACAGCAAAGAAAGATTTACATTTACCCTCTCAGAACTTTTAAGAGTATTCTGGGCATCAGATGCATTTGGAGAGGGGCAGTTCTGCTTGGCTCCAAGCGGAGAGTTAACACCAGAAAATTCCCTGAAAAAAAACAAATTTAGCGTCAACTAGTTCCCTGTCTGTTGCCTTAGGGAGAAACTTGGAGACTTTGAAAATGAAATGGTTCATTTTTGAAAACTGAGAGCTTTTAGTGGCAACCAACCTGTGTGTTGCCAGCCCTGGACCTCTTAAGTGAGCAGAGGCAGTGGGGTCCTGGTTAAGATGCCTCCGCAAGGCAATCTTGGCAGGGGAGAAGCGTGTGTAATCAGGAAGAGCATAGCAGGAACTTTGCTGCCTCTGCCGGGCATCAGGGGTGGAAGGTACAATTTCATGGTCTGGCGAGATGGGCAGGTAGCGAGAAATAAGCTCCCCCTTGGTGTTAGCCCGGTCAAAGCAGGGTGAGCTGGTGCCATTGAGAGAAAGCTCTGGGGTGACACCATTGAGAGCTGGGGCTGAGGACAGGCCGAGCTTAGTGGAGTCCATGTCTGTGGAAGAGCGCGATTCCAGACTCTTTCTGTATGGGGAGCCCTCACAGGGGCTGTAGGATTTGAGCTGAAGCAGCTCCTGCTGCCTTTGACTTTTCTCCAGCTCCACGATGCTGATCTAAAAACAGACATCAGGGGGAGCCGTTACACCAGAAAACAGGCATTCTGCAACAAATGTCTAGCAAAATGTTTGTGACAGCAATTCATCAACTCTTCCTGAAAGCTAGTTTAGGTGACATGGCTAATTCTTGTGAATATCCCTCTGAAGAGCATGTGGAGTTAGGGGGCGGCTGGATGGAACAAGAGGCCAGAGTACACAGCAAGTATGGAGGAGTACACAAGAGGCGGAAGAGAACGATACAAGCACTTGGAAATCAATACAACAAATTGAGAAGGTGGACTGTGTACCTGCAGCTCCAAGCAGTGTCTCTGTTTCTCAGAGATTTGTCTGCGTAGCGCCTGCTTCTCCTTCAGCAAACTCTCCAGACACAAAGAGCCCCAATCTAGCTTTAGCTCCTCGCATCGAGACTTCAGCTGGAAAACAACAACCATACACTTGCTGCTATTTGTTTTTTTGGAGAACACTCTAGCAAAATAAGCAAAATATAATTTAATATTGGCTCCAAGTGTAAAGACATGTAGTACAAACTGGACCTGAATTTGCACTTCAACACAGCGCAGCAGGAATGATAACAGGTGTAAACCACTGGGGATGATGCTGTAGTTAACAGGGTGGAGGTTACAACAACATAGTAGCAGGGCCTGAGGTCTCACCAGTAGCAGGCTGTGGTCTCTCAGCAAAGCCATGTCTCTCTCAAGCTGCTTAGTCTGCTCTTTCAGCTGGCGATTGTGGGCTGATATCTCCTTCTGGGCCTGCAGCAGGTCCTCCACAGTCAGTGCCTTCACTCCCAACTGACCACAACGCACACACACAAACAGTGTCATACTACACGATGCTACATGTGTCTCAGGTGCAACAGACGCTTCAACCAGAGGAGCTTAGTTAGTTGCAAAGTACAACACAACCCAGAAGGAAAACACCCAAAGTTTGCTTTCCCTTGCTTTAAGTAGTGTTCCACTCTCTGCTAAAACCACACTCATCTTCACATGAGACGTACATTATTCAGGGTAACTCAATGTAAGCACTAATGGTAAGAACACTTGAAATAAGGATATATTGCTTTCTTTACTGTAACATGGAGAGCAATAGCAAAAGTAGCAGTTCCCACCTCATCTAGTTTGGTCTGAAAGAGACCTTTGATCATGTCCTTGTGAGACTGACAAACAGAGTGGAGCTGCTCTGCCTGCCCGGACAGGTCCCTGTGTTTTTGCTAGAGACAGAAAGGAAAACAAGAACACAGATAAGAGGTCACAAAAAAGTGCAAAACATTAGGACAGTTACATCATAACAATTTAAATAAAATATTTACGTAGTTGACATGCTTGAATATATGCCACTTAATATGTGTTGGCATGATATGGCAGTAAAAAGAGAGGGAATTTGCAGCAGTAGCAGTCTGTAATGGCATTAATTATTACCTTCTCCTGCTCTAAAAGCTGCTGCAGGTTGGAGCGGTACTGAGGAGTCTTCATGTGGGCCATAAACTGGAGGTATTGAACTTTGATGTTATCTGCGAAAAGATGTAGGTTTGGGAAACAGCAGGAGGAAGGGAGCAAAAACAGAAGACATATTATTAGTTAGGTTTGTTCGGAAAATGGAGCTCAGACACCAAACGGATGGATATGCTGTCTTATACCACATGTTCTTTTCACAGAAAATATTTTATTTTTTATACTGAGCAAAATTATAAACTGTCAAAATCTGTGTTAGTGAGCACTTCTCCTTTGCAGAGATAATCCATCCACCTCACAGGTGTGGCATATCAAGATGCTGATCAGACAGCATGGGTATTGCACAGGTGTGCATTAGGCTACGTTCAGACTGCAGGCCTTAATGCTCAATTCCGATTTTCTTTCTGAATTCTGATTTTTTTGTTTGACAGTTCACATTACATGACGTCACACGAGGAGCAACAGAGGTTAGCTCCGGTTAGCTCACGGGAGACTCCCGTTTTTCATGGTCCTCTCATGGGTCACATTTCTCCCAAATTATGACAAGTGTTCACAACTTTCGTCACTGCTTTTTGCGGATGATGTGGTACTGATGGCATCATCGATCCGTGACCTTCAGCTCTCGCTGGATCGGTTTGCAGCAGAGTGCGAAGCGGTTGGGATGAGGATTAGCACCTCTAAATCCGTGGCCATGGTTCTCAGCAGGAAACAGGTGGAGTGCCAGCTGCAGGTAGGGAATGAGTCCTTACCCCAAGTGAAGGAGTTCAAGTACCTCGGGGTCTTGTTCACAAGCGAGGGGAGATTGGAGCAGGAGACTGACCGGAGAATCGGAGCAGCGGGGGCGGTATTGCACTTGCTTTACCACACCGTTGTGATGAAAAGAGAGCAGAGCCGTAAGGCAAAGCTCTCGATCTACCGGTCAATTTTTGTTCCTACCCTCACCTATGGTCATGAAGGCTGGGTCATGACCGAAAGAACCAGATTGCGGGTACAAGCGGCCGAAATGGGTTTCCTCAGGCTGGTGGCTAGTGTCTCCCTTAGAGATAGGGTGAGAAGCTCGGCCATTCGCGTGGAGCTCAGAGTAGAGCCGCTGCTCCTTTGTGTTGAAAGGAGCCAGTTGAGGTGGTTTGGGCATCTGGTAAGGATGCCTCCCGGACGCCTCCCTAGGGAGGTGTTCCAGGCACATCCAACTGGGAGGAGGCCTCGGGGAAGACCCAGGACTAGGTGGAGAGATTATATCTCCACACTGGCCTGGGAACGCCTCGGGATCCCCCAGTCAGAGCTGGTTTAATGTGGCTCGGGAAAGAGAAGTTTGGGGTCCCCCGCTGGAGCTGCTGCCCCCGCGACCCGAATAAGCGATAAGCGGATGAAGATGGATGGATGCTTCACAACTTTCTGTTCGTTTCATTACGCTTTCTGGCGCTGTACAACACAACTGCCCCACAACTCACTCACTCTCTCTCCCCACTGTGTCCACTCGGACAAATAGCATGCACATCATCAGAAGAGAGCTTGCGGTCCAGTGGATTTCAGGTGTAAGACAGGGAATCTGTGAGCAGACGACAGCAAGGTAGAGGAGGAAGAGAGCCACATGTTAAAAACTGGCTTTTTTGAAGCTTTTTCGTTCACCGCGGCTCCGTCTACAGCAGAACTGTGACAACAGCTGACTAGAGTGACATCAAAGTCGCATCAATTCCAGACTCAGGTCGCATTTAAAAAGATCAGATTGTATTTGATTAGTGGCCCAATTTCAAACTGGAAAAGATCAGATTCCATGTGATTTGGCCTGTTCACACCGTCATAAAAATATCAGATCTGCCACAATAAAAGGCCACTTGAAAATGTGCTATTTCACTGTATTGCGGGTGTCCGGAAACCAGTCAGTATCCGGTGTTGCTGTCTGCCATCTGCCCTGTACAGTGAAAACCGGGATTCAACCGTGAAGAGAACACCTCTCCAAAGTGCCAGACACCATGGACTGTGAGCATTTGCCCACTCAAGTCGGTCACAACGACGAACTGCAGTCAGGTCGAGACCCCGATGAGGACGACGAGCATGCAGATGAGCTTCCCTGATGGCTTATGTAGAGAAATAACCATTCCATTCACGGGCAACAGCTCTGATTGACATTACTGCAGTCAGCATGCCAATTGCAAACTCCCTCAAAATTTGCGACATCTGTGGCATTGTGCTATGTGATGGAACTGCACATTTTCAAGTAGCCTTTTATTGTGGACAGCCTAAGGCACACTTGTGCATATGTGCAATACCCATGCTATCTGATCAGCATCTTGATATGCCACACCTGTGAGGTGGAGGGATTATCTTGGCAAAGGAGGAGTGCTGACTTTTGAGAGATTTGAGAGAAATAGGCCTTTTGTGTCCATAGAGATTTTAGATCTTTGAGTTCAGCTCATGATGAATGGGGGCAAAAACAAAACTTGTGTTTACAGTTTTGTTCAGTGTAAATTAACTCTTTAAAAAATAAATAAATAAATCACACCACACTTCCCAGACCAAACCAGCTCACCTAACAGTTGTTGCAGACCAGGAGGAGTCGGGCTCAGCAGCAGTTGACTAGAGGGATAGTGCTGGACCTTGGGAGGTAGGTGGTAGAAGGGAGTCTGAGGTGGCCGGTACACATCTGTACACACAAGAAGCATATCTATGTTACACTGAGATTTCAGTTTAGAGTTTAGATGTAAAGAAGACATTAGTCATTTCTGTAACACGAGGCAGCTTAAGATTTTCCATGCCTGGTTGCCAGTTCCCATTCAGAAAAAGCTAATGCATACAGTTATAAAACCTGAAGGTAATATCTACAATATTCCATGTGTTTATATGTATGTGTGTCCACTGACCCTGAGGGGGAGCCGCAGAAAGGGTCTTGGCGTGCAGCAAATCCAAAGCGCTCTGATTCTTCTTGTTTTTCTTCTCAGCAGCCGGGGCGGCTTTCTTGGGTCGACCACGTTTCTTGTTGTTCAACTTGCGACCCTTGGACAAGAGTCGGGTTCGTCGGGGTTTGGCTGGGGGCTTGACCACTGTCACCAAGCTAGGACGCTCCTCCTCACCACAGGAGTCCTGCTGCAATATGCATGCACACATACATGTTCATACAAAAGAGCACAGAGAGCTTGCCTTGCTGTCTTGTATATACGCGGGACAAAATGACACAAGACACAATATATAGCAAAAAGGTAATGTACCCAGCTAAATGGTCCAAGGAATTGCTTCCCACATAAAGTCTTGTAAATCCGTGCACATGCTACCTTGTTTTGTTCTTTAGGTTTTGTGGGCGTGGTGCTATTGCTTTTACTGTCCTTCGTATCCTTCTGCTGACGTCGCCTAGCTGCCTCTTGTTCCTCCTGATGACAAAATGAACCAAATAACTCGTTTGATACAGAAAATATAGTGAGTACAGTGACACTGTCAAATAGTACAGTGAGGAAGAAGAACATGACTTACCCTGAGTTTAGGATTTTTGAGACTAGCAAAATAGTTTTCAAGCTGAAAAAAGGAAAATGTGGATATAAGAATATTATTTTCATTGCTTTTACAAGAGTTTAAATACCATCCAAGCTCAAATAATCACGGTGTATACAACAACTTTAAAAATCCAATATTTCACACTTTTTATTTTAACCCAATTTCAGAACTGTTATTGTGAATACAATTGCCGTTTTATAAAACCTGTACACTATACAAAACATATGCTTTCTTGTTTCATTAAATAATCAATATACATTATGTCTAAAGCAAACAATGAACAGGATTTAATGGCTAATTTTGGCACTCTGTGTTTTTGAAATATGATGAGTGTTTTTACTTTTTTCTTCCACAAGTAAAACTCAACTGACTGACATCACCAGCTCAAATAAAAATCTGAGCAGATACATTATTAATTCAGATCGCAAGTTTCTAAACTATTTAAACACGAATACTGTAGCATTAAAAAGGTTATCAAAATTGCAGAATGGTTCGTTTTATTTGTCTTTCCACATTTACATTTATTCATTTCGCTGACGCTTTTATCCAAAGCAACTTACAATTGCTATATATGTCAGAGGTCGCACACCTCTGGAGGAACTAGGGATTAAGTGTCTTGCTCTGGGACACAATGTGTCACAGTGGGGAATTGAACCCAGGTCTCTCACACCAAAGGCATGTGTCTTATCCATTGTTCCATCGCCAGCCCTTTCTGTGATGTTTTAGGATTATATGGTAAATGCAGATTACTGACCAGTCATTTGCTTTACTGCAGGCACAAAACCTACGTGCCTGAGGTCATCCGGCCATTGGTTGTAGTCTTGTGGTTCTTTGAGGATGATTTGACTCACTTACCCTTGTTTAACCATCAAAATCCATCCTCTAAAAAGGTACAAAAAAATATAGCCATATGCAGATTGGGTCATGCACACTATTTCTACTGTTCCATTCTGTGAAGTTACTATCACTCACCATACAACGAACAAATATGCAACAAATTCAAAAAGAGTGTGGAGAGAGCAGCGACATTTACTTTGGGTGGTAACACAGCTCTATCACTGGGGTTCCCACTGGTCAACAGGGATTACTGTAACCAATTACTCAAGTGACAGACAAATCAGTGTTATCTAATACACCTGTGTTACTCTGTTTAACCCTCTGTGTTCTCTCCTCAGACTGCTTACTCTTGGGACTGACTACTCATTAGTACAATACCAGCTGTTATAATTATTATGGCAGCCTATCTCTTGAGTTTAGGTTACTCTTTGTCTCTAATGGCTTATGTGTTTGTGCTGCTTCAGCAGTCATTTTAGTGTTTTATTGGTTTGAAAAACTCTCCTCTAATAGAAATTTTAGTCTCTGCAAATGGGTCTTCCTCCAAGAGCTCCAGTACTTACTATGGTACGGTCTATGGTATGCAAGTAGTAGGAAACTGGCTTTCCAGTCCAGGACACGGAGCCCCTGAGTGGAGAAAGCTCCACCACACGCATTATTGTGCCAATATCTGCAAGACAGGTAGAAAAGAAAACATGGCACTGCATGTCAGATACAAGAGCATGACACATTGAAATCTGCTTTTCACTGATCGTGGTACTTACCACTCAAGTTTCGACTGTTTATTCTAAAATTTAAAGGTGCAAAAGGTTTGGAAGATACAATTTTTCCACCTGGAAAATAAAAACAACAACAAACAGTTGTTAACAAAATCAATAAATAAATTAACCTTGATAAATGATGCTCTACAGTCGACACATACTCGTATGGCTCACTACATAAAGCAACCATAATGTCAAACACAATCCTCAATTAGAAATGGTAGTCCATAAACACATTCATCATATTGTTATGTTACACATTCAAAACTATGTCAAGCAGCATAGTGCAGCTGCGAGGTCAAGTGTTATTTTGATCACCAATGAGACAACAGAAAGGTCTGTTGTCACAAGGAAAGGCTATTTAAAAGCCTTATTTGTCAACTTTTGATCAGTTTACACCTGTCTCAATTTGTTGTGGTTCATCAACCAACTGCTCTGCCATAAAAATCAATTAGCACATTTAAAATGACAATGGACATATGGCACACTGATGAAAATTTACTAGAAATATTTGAGGTGACAGGCTTGTGGACATTACACAGTTAGCTTTCTAATAACTATAAATTATAATCATAGTATTTCACACGTAGTCATCACAAAAACAATTTAGTGGTTAGTCTACAAAATACTAACCTTCCTTCATGTTAGCAAAGCGCTCCTTCAGCTGGTGATCTACCTCTGGACCAAAGGCAAAGTTATTCACAAAAATAATACTGGAAGACAGACAAAGAAAGACATTTTAGATCTACAGTTCACAGTAAAAAAAAAAAAGAGAAAAAAGATTTACCTTGAAAGTCAAGTTTTGAGAGATGAACATGTTTCAGCAAAATTCTGAGGACATGTTCAATTGTTAACTTTCTTCTGTCTAAACCTTTATATGAAGCTCCTTACACATTGTGTCACTGAACAGTGACAATAGCAAGTCATAATAGGTTTCTGAAGGGTAGCATTTATCACAGGACTGAACCTTTCTTCTATAATGTACCATGTATTACATTACATTACAGCAGTTTCTATAAATTCAGCTTAATAAATGGTCTTAATAGAAGAAAATATTGAAATTGTTACTGTGGCTGGGTTTGGTATACCACCTTGTGTTGGCGATCCTTTCCTTCCATTCTTCTGACAGAAAGTCCCCTCTTTCCAGCTGAAAGAAACCGAGCAGACTAGTACAAACCCTGAATACACGTGGATCTGCAGAACACCCAACATTTAACATTTTGTGAGTAAATGTCACACTAAGAGTCAACTTACTGTGTACTCCCCGTGTTTCTTCCCATACCATTTCATCCACTTTTTAAACTCTTTATCCATGGTCTGAAAGATTGAATTTGAATATTAATATCCAAACATGATGATTTTAATAAAAGTTATTTTAAACTACAACAATCAGTACGGGATGCGTGTGTTCCAAAAAGGAGGATTAGCGAGTTAACAAGAGCCCCTCAGTGAAATTCTGGCTCTTGCCTTAAGGAAAGCCATGTTTCTGGCTGAGAGCCTGTATCTTTTACTGTGATAACGAACGCTCAGCTGGTTAGACTAACTGTAGTCAGGACTCATTTAGACTAAGAACAGCCCCTTGGCACATGGGTGCAGGGCTCCGTTCTGGTGTGTTGCTAAAGGGCAAAGATGAGAAAATGAAACGTGAACCGGGAAATCCATTTTGATTTACTTTAGGTTTTGGAAAGAGAATAAATCGTACTTCTCCTTTCAACTTCAACGACTGTAATTATTACAAGTGCCCCAGGAACAGCGTTTGACCATATCTTAGAATAATATAGCCAAAAAAAGCTAGAAATTGACTCTTTTTACATTAGAGTCAATGGAGCGCATCCATGAAAATGTTGAACTTCAGTTAGAGCGAGTCCTATACCGCGCTGTGATTGGCCAGCTGTGTATTCAGGGTGTGGCTTAGTGAAGGGTCAATTGGTGCTATATAAATTAAATTGAATTGAAAAGATGGCGATTTATCGTATTTGCGGACTGTCATCTTCAACAGCTCTGTGTCAGTTAGGCACACGTTTCAGTTATAATCACCTCAAAATCAGCAAGATAACGACGCAGTTTGCAGTGCAACGGAAAGTGCAATATAATCCATTTCAATGGTCAATAACTTCTGATTTTCAACATAGAAATCTCAAATCATTCAGTCACCATTAAACATTTCACACCTGTGAGTTTGTAAAAAAACTTATGAAAATAAATAAATTAATTAATTAATTGAGCATTGCGGTTGTAATTTCAACAGCTTGCTCATTTATGAATAAACTGACATCACGTCACCTTGTCCTGGACATCTTTCACACCTTTTAGTTTTCAAGTTCAAATGTTTTTATTAAAAAGGAGTGTATGTTGAAGTGCATGTGATTTATAGTTTTGTTTTTTACTGTGGCTTCCAATTGGGCATCAACAATCGTGGAATTTCACTGCTACTGGTATCGACTATTAAATTTATGGTACTGTGACATCCCTACCCCTCTGCTCTTGTGAGATATTTATGTCGTTACCTCTGCATAGGTAGCTGGAATGTCTGCTTTCTCTACACCGTAGTAGTGTTTACAGTTGGTTGCTGCTGCAACCTGCAGCACTACCTGCCCCACTCCTGCAAACAAGAAACAATAGGTTCATGTCTTACGCCAAACATACAAAAGACACCTAGCTGTCAATGTTGTTCAATTTAAAAATCAAAACATTATTTCTTTTTTTTAACTGCTTCCATGTACGACTGGTAAACTATTAACAATGTATTTAAAAGGTCTGTCCTATTTTTTACTGTGGCATTTGGTTTTATATGACAGAAATGGTGGTAATGTAAAAGCCACGTCGGATCAATTCTTTCTGAAACCTGGATGTCCAAACAATAACAGCAGACTTACCACTGCCGAGGTCAACAAAGGTGTCATCTTCCATCATTTCCATCTCGTCGATGATCTGAGACACAAGGTCGAAAGAGGTCTCTCCGTACACCTCAGGGGAGAAGGGCTCGTAGTTGTTCAGCTTCTCCGGGTCGGTCACCGAGTGGTTGTACACCTGCTGTAGGATGTGTCTCAGCAGCCCATTGGAGGGGCGCTTGTTCAGCTTCATGGGCTGGGTGGTCCCTTTCCACTATAAAATGGGATTGCATATATTTAATCACACACACACACACAAAATCGAGGTATATTGTTTTTCCCTATACATCAATGTGTTCCTAAGTTAAGCGGTGCTGGCCTCTCAAAGAGAAGGACCAAAGAATACACATTCAAAAAAAAGTTTTTGGATAACAACTGTGCTTATGAAACATCTTGGTCAATAACTAGAAGCATAAATACTTAATTATAGATCTTAGTCTCGTAAGAGAGCGTTGGGTCACGCGTGGCACAGATTCAAAGGAACACAGGAACAGACTCACAGTACAGTGTTGTTCACGTTTATGACTAATGTTTTCACATTCACTTCACCTACACAGCACTGAAAGCCTGCACATATACGGACTCACCAGCTGGTGAATGCTGTCGATGGCCCTGTTGTACTTGTCACAAAGTCTCTGCATACTCTCGAAGCTGTGAGAACAACAAGACACAAAATCAATACCCTCATTTTGTACAAGAACTGCCCAGTCCAACGCCTATTTTCCAGCTGACTTCACAAGAACACTTTTCACCTATGAAAATACTTACAAAGATCTGTTAACTGTGACAGAGATTGCACTCAAGGGAAATTATTACTGACACATACACATTTCAATTATATGTTTGGCCTGAGAAAACCAACCAAACACAGTAGAAAACAAAGACTTGAGTTTAGACATACAAACAGGCTGTTAGATCAGCAGTTAGCCTGCGTGGATGAAAGTGTTGACATTGTATGATGTTTTTAGTCCTTTTAGTATGTTTTCTAGTTATTTTCACAGACACAAACATATTTTGACATGACCCTTGTTTCACCTCTTGGTGTCGTAGTCGATGAGTACGTAGTTCTCCATTGCCAGTTTGAGGTCTGGGATCTCCTCACACACCCACCTAGAGAAAGCACACACATGAAAGCGTCACCAGATCATACACCCGACACAGTGACTGACTGTCAGCGTGAATGTGGGGGGGGTAGATGTGGGTGGTGTGTCAGGGGGAGGAAAGGTTGCTTACCGAATGGTCTCGATGATTTCATGAGCAGCATCGTGATGTTTATCCTGAAATCAGAGAGGGGTGGACAAAATGTTAACCTCCTCTCAGTATGACCCATTCAATTCAACAGCACCACAAACTACAGCCTCCATAAAGTTTAATCATCACATCTCAAAACACAGTCTCAATAAAACATTATAGCCTTCATGATGGTAGGATTTATTGCAAAACTGTTTTATTACTAGCAGTGGTTTAAGCTAGGCATACCTAATAAACTTTCAACTGAGTGTAGAAAGCCCAAAACAGATGACAAATATACATTCTACAAGCCAGGTGGCATAATAAAGAAACTCTATGCACTTCTGTCTGCATCTACTAAAGATTTCCACAATTATTTTTGCAATATGGAGGTATGTCATTTAAGTTTACCAACCATTTACTTAAACTACAAGCACTTTTAAAATTCTAATGTAGTGTCAAAGATATCTTGACATCTACTGCTATCACAGCTTATGGAAATTTCCCAAATAAGAAGAAATTAATATGATAATGCAGGAAATCCTATATTATAAGCCAAAATATTTCAATAACAACTTCCTGGCTATGCGTATCATGTAATTATTTGGTGAGCAGAGTTGAATGTAAAATATACATTAATTAAAAGATCAGGCACACTGAAATAACTTAATTACGCCTTCATGACACCGCAGCGCAGTGACCTCAACAACTATTATGTCTGATTCATCCTCTCATTGCAGTGACATCTGACAGACAATAGCCACTGCAGACACAACTGGAAGCTCCAATGTCGCTGAATGCTGTTTAGACCAGTCAGGAACTCTGTCAATGTTTACAACACATACTCTGCACTCTGAATGCAGCAATCTCTCTTTACCTTAGCAGTCTATTATATAAGCCTGCACGTTCACAAAGTTGTCTACCTCTGTATCAAAGCAGTGGCGTGTAGACACAGACTCTGATATTCCTGAATTTATTAAAAAAATCTTGACTAGTTAATGTGTTATTATGGAGTCAGTTTACAAACACACAAAAAGTCCATGATGTGGTGGAATCAGAAGAATAGAAACAGACAAATCAAAGATGTTTAAGTGATACTGAAATGTCAGTATTTGTGGCAATAATGTGAGCTTGAACCCCAGCAGTGAAATAATCTCTACTGCATTTTTTTTCTAATGAAATGGTAAATTTTGGAAAGAGGTTAAAACAAGAATTATTGAGTGTCCTGTGAATGAGTTCTACTCTGTCTCAAAGCGCGTATTTGCCAAATAATCCATGCATCTCTACTGACAGACAGCATTAGTCTGATATCTGGAGTAACTCAAACCCTCCTTCAGAAAATTGGTTCAGTTAACGATTTGGCTCAATGAGAGTATTCCAAACCATGTCCGAGAAAGCCAATTCCAGGTAATCCAGTTAAAAACAGCACTTTAGTCTACAGCAAAGCTTAATAAAACAAGACAAGATTAATTAAATTGATCCCATGCAGAGAACCTATAGTTTGTAATCTTATCTGGAGTGTGCTGCTGCAGCTCTGTGGGAGTAACAGGAGTCAAGTTACACCCAGAGCGCAGCCAGTCTGAGCCTGTTGCCTCAGCTGACCCACTGACCCACTTTCGGTCTCCTGCTCCAGAATATTGCCAAGGAGAGCCTCTGGTGGAGGGAAGGAAAAGAGGGAAATTACGAACTGAGGAGAAATATGAGGGTAAAAAGGAAAGAAAGTGAAACAGAGAAGAAATCTGGAAACTGGGGAGAGTGAGGGGGCCATTGAGAGGTGGGGAAGCCTGGTATTTGTCAGCTGTTTGAGGCCTGGCACTGCAGCCGCAGCTAACAGCTCACAGTCCGGAGCTCCCGTCTTCCCGCTCAATACTGCCCGCCACTACTACACAGACTTCCGCCAAAGCTCACACATGCATGCGCACACACACACACTCAAAAATGCATGGTAACACAGGAAATCTCCTGCTATTTTTGTCAGCACGGCGTTCCGGTTACAGCTATGCATCATAAAGCTAACAGCTAGCTGTGTTGCTAATAAACAGCATGAGCTAAAAAAAAAAATATACAAACATACATGAGCACAACAGATTTAACACACTGTGTTCCACTAAACGGGGAAGGAATACAAGGTGAGTGAGTGTATGAAAAGAGCATGTGCGAGTGAGCCAATGAGATGTCGAACGGGGGGAGGTCACCGGCTCACACAAAGACGGCACACAGCAACACCAGCACAGGGCTGCTGCTAAAAATAAACACAGTCTGAAAGAGAGAGTCTGACAAAAAGAACAGGAGACCCTCCTCTCTCTCTCCTCACTGTGGGTATACTGACGCATGTACGACGACTCCTCTCTACACCACCTCAGTCAATCTCTCCTAACATCAGTGTGACGCATTGTGGGTGTAGGGGTTTTACACCACACGCTGCTCCACTACGTATATATCTGCAGCCCACGAGAACAAATGACTAAGGCAGGCGTGCCACTTACACCCTTCTACTAGTCTTACTAAACACGAAATACAACTAATGCACTTGGGGGCAACTTACAGCGCACCAGTATCTAAAATAAGATACTTGTGCTAACTTGTCTTTTAGGCAAAGAAGATTTTCAAGCAATTCTTGTGTACAGTATCTGATTATAACAAACATACTGCTATCCAGAGGAGCTGTCTTAACATGGTCAGTGATTTTATCTTGACAGACAAGTACATCAGGTCACATGTTGATGACACTGAGTGTCTGCAATTCAGCTGAACTGCAGTGTCTGGCTGCCTGTATCCAACACAGAAACACTCTACATTAAAGTCACTTCCATAACCACAATAGCAGGGCTGCAAATATGAGAGTGTTGCCTTTAGTATTTAAATTTCAGTGCTGCAACAAAACTTGAATCCTAAGAGTTGTGCTCACATGCCATTGACTTTACAACAGTAATTGCAGCCTTGTAAATAACAGGTGAAGTAGGTGAGGAGCAGAGATATTCAGCAGTACTTGAGCAGCAATGTATCTTTTAACTACAATGTACTGTAGGCCTGGTTAGTGCCCACACCCAGAACCAGATGGACAAAGAGCTGCACCACAACAGAGGTGCTCTTCATATGGAAACATTTATAGATGCACAGATGTGGGGATTTAGTGAGAGATGGGGAGAAACACAGAGCAAAGGAAAAAAAGAAAGAAAGAGAGAGAGAGAGAGAGTATTTTATAGGCTTAATTCTGGATGCCAGATCTGCACGCCTTATAGTGCAACAGCCATGTTGTGTTTATCAAAACACAGACAGCACTGTATCCATGCTCTGTGGGTGAGATAAGCAAGTTTAAGCAGCTCTGTGGGAGTCAAGAATACATCTATAAGTAATTCAACAAGGGTAAACAAAATTGATAATTAAACGTGACTTGGAAAATAAACTTGAGCACAGATACTGGCATGTGTTTTTGAATTCTATTAATATAGCACTGCTGAATAGGAGCAGTCTCTTCTATCCTCCTCCCTGTCGAGTTGACCATATGGACATGAGAGGAGGGAGAAGAAAGAGGAAGTCTTTACGCTTTGAAAACAGGAGGAGAGCGCTGCATGAATAGGCACCATATTGCAGGACTCCACATGCAGGACCATCAGCTGTTTCTAATTCAATGCAGGACAGCTAGTCCCTGTATAAATAGCTATCACGCAGGTCAACGGAATAAATTCCTGACATGCTTGTTCTTGTGTTTATCCTCGCGGACTATAAAATGCGGAAATGGGTGAGGCAACAAATCCGGCAGGGAGGAACTGTGAGTGTTATCAGACACTGGCCTGGTGTAAAGGGAGTGTCAACTCTGTCAGCCAAAGCAGAGAGGAGTGGCTGATTACATCAACTTGTAATTCTGACTCAGTGACTTGAAACTCATTCAGTTTGTGATGATGGGATAAACACACTAAAGGATGAAACTGAAATAACCAGACTGCCAGACTAGGTGCAGTGTGGGCGGTGAGGAGATGTACCAAAAGACACCACTCTGACATTCTGAAAGATTCAACGTTCATTCAAAGTCAGCACTTACTGTCTTACCGCAATTACTATAAATGAGATACACAGTTTAAGTTAACTATATAGGCTTCTGAAAAGACCACAGATCTTGCAACCGCTTCCTTTTCCGTTTCTCTTTGACTCTCTAATGAGACAAGTGCAATCGGCCACCAACGTGTTACTTACAGCCATGGAAATAACTACTAAGAGAGAAGTAGTCTCTTTCTTGGCAAGCATCACTATATTACTGCCTCGAGAAATGACAACAAATGGATGTATGGAGTTCAAAATACCCAACACGGCCAGCTGGTCTCAATCGTAGGGATGTCATCAGATAACCAAACAGAAAAAGAACTCGAGGAATGCAACTCGGCCATTGACTTGCAGAAAGCGATGTGCCCTGGGTGATTGTTTAACGTTACTGGTATCAAACAGTGGATCTGAGCATAGAAAAACAGCTATAACCTATTTATGTCTTGGTCCACTTACATGTGTTGGAACATAAACGGACCAAGCCGAAATAAACTAAAGTTACGGTGAGCCTGACATGAAAGTGGATGTGAAGGGAGGTCTGTTTCAGTCGCTCCAATTTCAAAACACCTTCTTTTTACTGGGTGTCTGGCTCAGTTGTAACGTTACTCACGTTACCCTGCTCAAATGTACCGCAGTCTGTATGTCACCGTTTTGGGGCTAATAATTAATAACACGTTAAAAAAACATGCTAAATGTCTTATCAATCATCGTAGCTGTCTGATATAACAACATGTCTGTCACCATCCCGACCAGTATGACCTGATTCCTCGGACGAGCGTGCTACGGCTCCTCCAGCTAGCCAGTGTTAGCAAAGAGCTAGCTAACAAAGACAAAAATAAAGAAAACATCTAAGTCTGTAACCCGGTGACTTTAAAGGTTTAACACTTACGTATACTGGTAGTGGCCACGGATACCCAGCAGGTTCTGCTCCAACCGGCGATTTGAGCTTGAGCTCCAGCTTTTCTCCCATTCTACACTTCACGGCGGCTTGGCTGTGATAGATACCTAGCTAGCTAGTGACTGCTCTCTGTTAGCCAGCTGGTCGGTTAGCGAGCGAGCTACAACGTGAACATTTTGGAAGAAAAAAAACGTTTAAACGCGTTAAGTAAAAAAATACGTCAGTGCTCGTTGCGCGGCAAATACACACACGATACGACCGAGTGTATAAATGTATCTGCTTCGGTTTTCTATTTTGAATAAAATGCCTGTTTATGTCCACTGGCAATAACACATCGTCCGTATCGCCGCCATCTTGCCCGGCATGAATATATATGGCATGGGGCCACTGGTAGCAGAGGGGACACAGACGTCACCGAGGGGACCGTGATGTACGTGGGCCAGCAACACCGAGCACGAGCGATCAGTGTAGGCGAGCACCCGTCATACTCGTCCCACTTCTTCTTCTTCTTCGAATGGCAGCTTGCATTCTTGGTGTTTCATTACCGCCATCTTCAGGAGTTAGTTAACTCCTATAGTGCCATATTTTCAATCCTGTCCTCTTAAGAAAGCTGACTAGACACTTCCTGCCTTATCCATTTCTGCCACACTCCAGTATGCCCTTTAGTCCTGCTCCTGTTTGCCCGGATCTGTTCATTCCCTCCACAATGTCCTTTCTTTCTGAGGAAGCCTGCAGTAAACCTGTAGCCTACATCTTCTACTGTTTCTGGTACCTGACACTGTTCACAAAGTCCAGTTGCTTCCCTACAATGTGAAGAGTAGGCTACCATTCAGGTTAATGTGTCCTATTATTAATCTAGTCATTACTACCTCCCCTTTTCTATTTCCTCCCGTTTCTCTCCATATTCAATTCAATTTTATTTATATAGCACCATATCATAACAGAAGTTATTTCGGGGCCCTTTTCATATAGAGCAGGTCTAGAACCTACTCTTGCATAATATTATTTACTGAGACCCAATAATTCCCACCATGATGTTAATCCCCACTCTATATTGTATTGCATGTCGTCCTCTTATCTCCTGATCCCAGTGTTGCTGGCACTCTTTGTTGATTTTCTTCCATGCATGGAAGAAAAAAAACAAAGAGTGCCAGCAACACTCAAAATAAAAGGGAAAGGTCCCTTTTATTTTGAAAGTTTAATTATAGTGTCTATCTTTTTTTAACAGCTTGTCCACTCTCTCATTTCCCATAATGCCAATGTGCGCAGGAACCCAAATGAGTGTGACCACAGTATCTTGTTTACTCTTAAGTGTATTTGCATTATTTCAAATATTAGGTCCCGGCGATTACTGGATGTACCTAGCTTTAGCTGTACAAAGCAGATGCTGAGTCATCAGAGCTTGTTTGAGTTTGGCTTGTTCAATCCACTCTAAAGCCGTCCAAATGGCGTACAACTCAACTGTTGCAACTGCAGCACCAGTGTAATTTTATTAAATGATAAATATAATCAATTAACATGTCTATTTTTGAAAGCATTCTACAGTTTTTTCCCCACACCTGCCTAAAACTCTTGCACAGTATTGTGTGTGTGTGTACATATATACACATATATACACACACATATATACACATATATACACACACACACACACACACATATATATACATATATATACACACACACACACACACACACATATACATACAGTATCTCACAAGTGAGTACACCCCTCACATTTTTGTAAATATTTGATAAACATATTATTATAATATTATTATTTTTGTAAATATTTGATTATATCTTTTCATGTGACACCACAGAAGAAATTACACTTTGCTACAATGTAAAGTAGTGAGTGTACAGCTTGTATAACAGTGTAAATTTGCTGTCCCCTCAAAATAACATCACACCCTAAGTGAAAATTCCCCATTTTCCTTCCCCGGTGTCATGTGACTCGTTAGGGCCTCTGTTCACCAAAGTGTTTTTTACCAGCTGAAAACGCCAGCTGCTGTTCTGAAAACGCCTAGCTGGGAGCGCTAGGGAGCGCTTTGGAGGCGCAGTGTTTTTTTTCGAGATGCTGTGGTTGCTATTATACATACTATCAGTGAAGGTGATGTGCTGCAAATAGGCTACTACTATTTTACTGAATGTAAAAATGTCACCACAAAGTATGAAGGTCTACTTGCTCTGGCCCTTGCTCAGCATGAAGAGAAGGCTAAAACATGAGAGCAAAGATTGTCCGTAAGTGGGGTTATGAGATTTTACGGGCGAGGAAACACATCATGTCATTCAAGATCGGATGTGCTCGGTGTGGTGTTTGTCCCGCCCCTCCTGCATTTTGATTGGACAGCTGGGTTAAAAGTGACAGTGACGAGCGCAGCTCGCAACTCTCGGTGTCCGGAAAAAACGCTCAGCGCCCAGCACCCAGCACGGAAAAGGCGCCCAGCATCTCGTCACACTGATGGCATTTTTACCAGGTTGGAAAAATGCGGCGGTACCATTGCAATTAAATGAAAAAAGGCCCCTTAGTGTTACAAGGTCTCAGGTGTGAATGGGGAGCAGGTGTGTTAAATTTGGTGCTCGCTCTCATACTGGTCACTGGAAGTTCAACATGGCACCTCATGGCAAAGAACTCTCTGAGGATCTGAAAAAAGAATGGTTGCTCTACATAAAGATGGCCTAGACTATAAGAAGATTGCCAAGACCCTGAAACTGAGCTGCAGCATGGTGGCAGGTTCCACAGGACAGGTTCTACTTAGAACAGGGCCCGCTATGGTCAACCAAAGTGGAGTGCACATGCTCAGCGTCATATCCAGAGGTTGTCTTTGGGAACTAGACATACAAGTGCTGCCAGCTTTGCTGCAGAAGTTGAAGGGGTAGGGGGTCAGACAGTCAGTGCTCAGACCATACGCTGCACACTGAATCAAAGTGGTCTGCATGGCTGTCGTCCCAGAAGAAAGCCTCTTCTAAAGTTGATGCACAAGAAAGCCTGCAAACAGTTTGCTGAAGACAAGCAGACTAAGGACATGGATTACTGAAACCATGTCCTGTGGTCTGATGAGACCAAGATAAACCAGCGGTTTAGACATTAATGGCTGTGTGATGTGATATTTTGAGGGGACAGCAAATTTACACTGTACATTGTAGCAAAGTGTAATTTCTTCAGTGTTGTCACATGAAAAGATATAATCAAATATTTACAAAAATGTGAGGGGTATACTCACTTTTGTGAGATACAATATTACAGGATCTAAAGTACACCTTCCTTTCTGTGCTCCTTCATCTGTTTTTCCCCTGTCATCCATCTGAACTTTTCCCTTCACGCTAATCTCTTGCACCTCCACCTCTCTTCTCAACACTTCACAGTGGGAATACACAACACTGTGATTCCATCCACAGTCACAACACTTTGGTCTTACTTCCTCTCCACACTTCCTATATTCATGTTTCCACATATTCTTGTCCCTTTGCACTCCTTAGCCACATTCCCACATCCCTGGCAGTTAAAGTGTCTCATTGGATTTGGTAGAAACTCCCTAAGTCTGTATTTCTTGAATCCAAAGTATAACTCCTTTGGGAGAAGTTTTGTTTCAGACTATCAAAATAGTCTCACTCTTCTTTTCTCTACTCCACTTTTTTTTTCTCTTCATTTTAGCATTCCAATTTCTATACCTTCTCGATCTGCACTTCAGTGTTGCACCCTATGAACACGTTTCCATCTCCAAAAACTCTCGCAAACTTCACTTCTCCATCTTGATTTTTGTTAGCTTCAGCAGATCAACTTTCTTTACTCCCTCCTGTCCCTCAAATCTCACCAGTACGTTTAGAAATCCATGCCTTTGGGTCCTTCTCCTCACCCTTTCTCCCCTCACTCTCCATTCCACCTGAGTCATTTTTCTTTCTCCTAAAGCTACTTACCTTCATGACTCTACTCCCTCTCACCACCTCTTCCCACTCACTCTTCCTACTCTCATCCTCCTCACTAAACTCCATGCTGTTGCTGTCACCGTCTCGTCTCCCTCCCTGCCATCCTGTCAGTTTGTAAGGAACAGTGTAAGAATACAGGCCATCAGCCTGTATTCCTACAAAAATTTTACCCTAATACCTAATACTACTGCTGACAAGTCCAGACCCACACATCCCACAGCCCATGAGAGCTGAGTTAACGTTACAACTCTCAATAATATTTATGCGGAGCTTGTAGAGCTGGATGATAACGCTATATATTTATAAGATCTATTTAAGCCTTGATGAAATTACCTAAACTTATTTCCCTAATCAAAACAATTAATTAAACTAAGCAGTCTTTAATAAATATAAGATTTATGCAGACTTAAATATACTTTCTATCACTGGTTGGTTGAACATTATTATGACAAACTGCACCCAGTGTTGACTCCCACTTTAAGAAAGTCAGGCTTTCGGTCACACAGTCAGGTCAGATCATGAACATTTTCAGACAATGATAATTTATTACATTATATTGTTTATTTAATACATTATATGTTTATTTAATTTTTTATTGTAATATTTTATAATATTAATTATCTAAATCATCTATTATCATCAGTTTCTGGCCTAATGGTGTTATTGCATTGCAATTTATTGCAAAGTGAGCTGTTACAAATGACCAACACACATAATCAGACCATGGAGCACATCTGCACTCTCTCTCTCTCTTCCATAGCAGACCTTCAGTCATGTAGCAGACAGCAGTGTGTGTCAGTAAGCTCAACACCTGGGTCCTAGAACTGGCAAGCCTATATGGAATGCACACGCCTAATGATGTTGATTACACTTGTATGTGATAAGTAAAAATGTCAGCTGTGAGATAGGTACTGTATATTGGCGGCACAGTAGCTCATAGATATTGATGTTGGGGCTGTGAGGGTTTACTCCTGGTGCCCCAGTTTCAGTTATTATTATGGATTAATAAAAGTCTTTAAAATGAATTTGCTCATGTTACCGTCCGGGGGCTCCACAGTAAAACAGATAATCTCCTGTTTCCTGGTTGAGGCTTATTTCTGAGGTGAACCCGCAGGCTGGAGAAGGCACGTGTGTGTGTGTGTTTGTGTGTGAGACAGAGATCATTTGAAATTTTGAATTAAACCTGAAACAGCTGTAGGTTTGAATCTATTAACCGTTCAAAAGAAGGGAGAGAGGGGTCCCAACTACTGAATAAAAGAGCTTAACAGAAAATCACCAAGAGGCACAAAGTGCTGGAGTGTGATCAGCCACTTAAAATAAGCCGTTACTGCCGAGGTAGCCTACCACTCGAACAAGACACAAAATAGAAATGACTACTTTTATTTTTTAATTTATTATTGTCTTTTTTTTTTTAATTTGAGGTTAAAAAGTCGGAACATTTGTGTTTTGCTCTAGAGTGAGAGCTAAAGTAACATTGGAGTCAATGAGACCATTGAGGGCCATCTTGGTGCTTTGAGGCAGAAAATTA